ATGTCTGATTTAGTATTATTTTACTTTCATTGAAAACAGATGTAGTGAATTGATGAATTAAATCTCTCCACAAATCTTCTAAATACTCAAATAGCATTGTGTATTCATAAGAAGCTTTAAAATAGCGGAGAAATCTCTGAGTCCTAGTAAAACCCCAAACGACTTGGCGTTTCATTGATAGGAGACATCCCGGAACATGTTTGTGACAGACCCATCTGTCTGGATTACAAATGCTTTGTTCGCCTGTTTTGCCGGTTGCATGAATTTTCCCATTCGTATGCTTTATTCAAGGGAATGTCGGTTTTTGTCGAACGGAACTACCGAACGGACGGCCACCCAGAAGAGAAGTGTGCTGCTGGTTAACCTATTGATCCCAATTAGAACATTGCGGTTAACCACAGACACTTCTCAATTAAAACCGAATGCCGGGTGGTCGTCGTTCGTATGTCGACCACGAGGCGGCGGCCATTTTATCCATGCGAAAGACCAGCGGTGTTCGACGATTATTTCATGGATCTGAAAAACGGACACTTTTTCAGCCGAACATCGCTGAAGCCGTCGACCTCCCCTTCTCAAATCGACAAAAGTATACGAATGCCAGCTGTTCGGGAGATTCAACCACACGAATGGACTTAACCCAGATAGCCTTCCCATGGAGTCAATCGCATACCGAAGAACTGTAATAGACTTTGACTCCATGGCGATTGAACTATGCGAATGGGATCTGAGCGCTATTCACCAATAATATGCACTCAGATCCAGGCTATCTGGGGATGTGTTACACGAATGCAATATGTTCGGCAGTTATGAAGTTATAGATTTTCATGTGTTTTTGTGACTTGTATTTAAAATGGCGATTGCCTCTGCTCGGGGAGATAATTGAATTACTTCCCAATTATTCCCCGAGCAGAGTGGAGGGAACTGTACTGCATGCTGGGAATATTGTGGGGATGTATGTCCAAAATGTCCCCAATGTCTTTCTGTAATTTCAGTCTCCCATTTGGTCCCCTAGGGGAGTGTCCACCAGGTGGGAGACCTGCATAAATACCGGGCAGGTAGCCCACAGTAAAGCAGTTTGTGTTTTACCCTCAAAGCGGAGCTTGGTCTCGTTATTGGGGGGATTTGGTTACCAGCGACTAGAGACTACTTATTTGGATTATTTGCCGCTTGGGAGATATTGACGTTCGGTTACTATTTGCCGTTCGTGGATTTGAAGCTCGAGAAGGGAATTAGCCGTACAGGTACCATTCGGGAGTTTGGAGTGTTCCCTAGCTGGCGGTTCGCATGGTTTTATTATACCCGCTACCAGACCACATTATTGCGAATGGGGAATACTCGCTAAACGGCGGTTTGTACATTTTATTACTGGAGGTACCGTAACAATGTTTTCTATCGAATTGCGTGTTGTCGATGAGATACAATGTTTCCCTTATCTGAAATTAAATGCAACATGTATCAGCAGTTCACTTACTGTCTGCAAGAACAAATCGATAGTCCTGCGATGGAGGATAGGGGTCTGCTATCTAACCCACAATTCAATTCTTTCTAAAATAAAATGAGCACCCTTCCTCAAAGGAATATGATTCTGAAGTTTTATATGAGAAAGAACTCCTAGGAAGACAATGTAACAAATTTGACAATGGAACAAATTAAAGTGAACAAGTCATGACTGAGCAGTCCTCCCCCCATGAGGGTTTGAAAGGTGAGTATTTCTCACCATTGGCGTCCTGATCTCGCCAAGGCTGCTCCACCAATGTTTCTATGATCATCAAAAGCTGGCTGCTTTTGATTGAGAACCGACTTTGAGTCTGTTCTCATAGGGAAGCGTGTCTAGCGCCGGTCAGGAAGACAGACACTAGAGGTGTGTTTAAAGAGCCACTGCACTCAGACCATTTCATTGGGGTGCCTTCAGTGGTCCGTTAAGAGATAAACAGTTCATAAAGTGGTATTTGTTTATATATTTGCAACAATACCTCCTTTCTAGCATGTGGCAACTGTAGGAGGGTTCTCCTGCTCACCCCTGTCATTCAGCTGTCTACATAACCCTCTATGCTGATGGGAGGAGACATTTTTTATTTATATTTTTAGAAATATAGACTAGGAGCCCAATATATAGATGATGTTTGTTTGTCTACTTTCACTTAACTTAAAGTTGGGTGTACATGACAGGTACAAATTAATAGTGTTTACCTATTATATATATCTATTACTACAGTTCCCAGAAACCCATGCTGTACAAGTGTGCTTATACATTGTATATATTTGGGTCTTACGGCAGTACCGCTATTTAAAAATGCATGTCCTGAGTGTGTTGCGCAACCCCTTTTTTCTGTACTTGCATGTATAGACAAAGAGAAGTATAAAATGGCTGTTTTTTGAATCCAGTGTTGAATGTGTGGCCTCATTATTTCTTCTAATTCTTATTTATTTTTGCTCCCATGTTTCTGCTAAGCCGAGGGTAGCACAACATGTTGTTCCTTTAAATGTTGGTAACTATATTTTGCTATATTTAAAGGGATGTTCCACTGCCCAAATACAATAGTACACTGTTCATCGTTAGTAAATAAATCCACAAAGAAAACATGCATATATCTAAGTATTATTTTTTTTAATTGAGGGTATATCTAAAAACAGCTTGCAAAAGCTGCAGATCTCTTGGCTGCTGTCTTTGCAACCCTCCCTCCCCCCCTCCTCCCACCACCCTACCAACTATAGTCACACCCAGGTTTTCTGTGGCTGTCCAATCGCAGACTTCCCAGTGCAGCTCAATGAAAAGTCTTTGCAAGGCAGGTGCTCTGGGCAATTGCTGCCTCTTGAGTTTAGCTCCACTGAGCTAAACAAACCAGGAACTAACAGGACTAATTGTCTGATTGACAGCCAGGAGGGTGTATCAAGGTTAATTTATCGAAGTGCCAATTCTTATTGAAATCTGCGATTTTTGTAAAATGAAAAACACACTCGAAACATATAAAGCACTGCATGTTTCAGTGTTTGGAGTGTTTATTTAATAATATATGAAATAATTGAATTACATAGCGCCATAATGCATCTCTAAACCTGTGGAAAGAGGTTATTATTTTCAATACGAAAAACCAGATTCAAATCTGTTAAACGAGCTCCTGCTGTTAATAATAATTAGTAAAATTAACGCGAGTAAATATTAAGTAACAATGTTCCATACAAACTGGCCAGATGTTCAGTTGTTTAAAATTCAGACCTCTTTCCTTTTCAAGCTAAAGACAGCAGCTACTTTATGATGCAAATATATTGCCAGTATATCCACTAATTCCTCAGTTAGATCACGTTAATGGATATCATAACTAATTAGTATCCTGGGATCTGCAATACACACAGCGGCAGTCGCTTTTGTTATTAATAACAATATTACTCATCCTCGTTAGCAGCATAAATCTGAACCAAACGTTCTTCCATGAAAAATCATATATATGTTTTTTAATGTATTTATTTATTTTTATTTAAAATAATTTTATCCAAATGCTCACAATACAACATAAGGTAGTGTGAATCCCTAGAATTTAGGCTTAATAGCAATATGATTGGATTTTTTTTTTTTTTTTTTTTAAATACAAGGGCTTTTTCACTACTTAAATACATACATTCTGTAAATGTGGTAGGTTTCCATCTTAGCTATTTTGGGCTAAATATTGCAAATTCATACAGTTATTTTCAAAACGGAAGCAATTATAGTGAATTTTGAAAAATTCGCCAGCTCTAAAGTTTTGGATCAAAACGTGAAATAAATCATGGTTTTCGGTTCATCTGAATTCACTGTTTAGTGAATAGTCTTCCTGGGAACCTTCCTTCTACTCCGGATCTTATGGACTACATCTCCCATAATGCTTTTACAACCGTAATACTGTCAAAGCATCCTGGCAGATGTTGTCCATAACATCTGGGGTACCAAAGGTTGCCTACTGCTGCCTTAGAACCTCTCATGTGATTCCATTTTCATGTAAGTGCATTGGAGCCAAGTACGTTTTATGTACGCTACACTTGCACACTTTTCCGGTAAACACTTCATTGGTATTTACTTACAGGAAAATGACACTTTCTATCTGTAACTACACATCCCCAGTTTCCGTGAGTAGCAGACTCATTAATATACATGGCAGGGAGCACCAGCTCACAGTACTGTCATCATATGCCAGTAACCGGACAGGCTTTCACTGATCCCTGATTGAATGCTAATGAGTTAGTCTTTCATAACGATTAATCAATCGGAGACCAAGCAAAGTTATTGTTCATTTTCACCCTTTTCGGTTTTCTTGTATAATCTGCCTGCAGTTTTAGATATGTTCGGAAATTCTATATAATGTATCTGTTTTTCTCAATATCCTTTCTGTGACTCCATAAATCTGTCTCTGTATGTCTGTGTGTATAAATCTGTCTGTCTGCTCTCCACCTACCTATATTTATGTATCCAATGCTGGGCAGGCTATTTGATACATCAATACTTTCTGTGAAAACCATTATTTCCTTATATTAACTCTAAATCACCCCCTCTTCCTTCGGGATATTCTCCTGTCTCAATCTGTCTGCAGGAAATGCTACCTTTGTAGTTTGGTTAGATTTATTGACAGATGTGTAGATAAATGAATCCTGTTTGCAATAAAATGTTTTTTGTTAATAATTGTCTCTGTCTGTCTATTGATCTGTATCTATTTGCATTTGTATGTCTTTATACTTGCACGTGTCTCAATATTTGACTGTGTATCTACATCTGTCTATCAGTATCTATCTTTTATCTGTGCATCTATGCATCCAGTTTTTTTTATCTTTATGTGTCCATATATATCTTTATCTTTTGATCAATAAACAATATAAATCTTTGTTTGTCTGTCTCTGCATATCTGATGTTTCACTCCTTTATTTCTAAAGCTTCCTCGATCTTTTATCGTACCTCTTCCCCTCCAATTTAAATATCCAGTGTAATTTAGATGCACTATCCTGCCCCCCCCCCTCCGACTCCCCCTTTACTGCCTCTCCTCAATGAATCCAAGCTTCTTCTCTTCCTGACATTTCAACAGACATGTCCTTCCAATCTTTCTTCCATCATACCTGACAGTCCTTTTTTATTAAGTGGACAAGCTCATTGGAGCCGTGCACAAATCAATGCACAGACTTTCCATTGGGTGCTGGGGAGACATGGAGGGATGCTGCTGCAGGAGAGCAGGAGCAGGTGTTCGCGCGAATGTGTCGGTCCCATTGACACATTAAAGAACACAAAGATTGTCTTCGAGCTGTGGGGATGGACAGGAGACGGAGAGCGACTGTGGCTCTCACCCTCAATTTCCTCTCTCTCCTCTTCTCGATCACTGCCTTCAGCAGCAGCTACTGGTGCGAGGGAATCAGAAAAGTCCCCAAGCCTTTCTGCACGGGCAGAGCCAGGGAAAAACAAGCGTATTGCATTCATTTCAACAACTCTGAAGCCAACAGCAGCAGTAACGTGGTGCAATACACTTGGGAAACGGGAGACGACAAATTTATTGAGAGGCATTTTCATGCTGGGATATGGTACTCCTGTGAGGAAAACATTAACGGAGATGGTAAGGAAAAAAATTTAAATAATTTTTCTCCCCCCGCCTCTCCCCCCCAGAGCCAAGTACAGTTTGAGTTAATACCAAAATCGAACAGTAACGTAAACAATCGAACAATGAGAAGTAACCTTTAGTGCAACAGCTGTCACAATCTGTGTTGCTCATTATTATTATTTTACTATTTTATGATTTATATAGCGCCATCAGATTCTGTAGCGCTGTACAATGATACTCAGCCAGCAAGAAGGCTGACTGAGAGTCTTATACAACATATATCCTGTAGCTAAAGTGTCTAATAGAGAGTTTTGCAGTCCTAGGCTCATCCAGTGCTATTTTGAGGGATTGAATGTTGCGTTTGTTTGTAGTGATACCTGTGTCTTATCTCGTGTGCTTGATAATACGATGCTTGATAACTTTTCATACAAAGTAAAGTGTTTAAATGATCATATAAGATACTAAGATTTTTTTTGTCAGTTTTCGTATTTTTAAACCATAGACTCTTTAAACCTTTTATGCTCCAGAGACATTTTATGAAATAAAAAAAAATCCCCAGAGCAGTTTTGGAGATTGATCAATCATCGCTTGTGATGTCTGTGTCTGTCTCTAATTTGTAATCAGTGCACCCTACATTGTGCTGCGCAGGAGAATCTTCTGGCACCATATCTATGTAAAAGATAATGTGTGAGTTGTTACGTTGGGCTTCTTGAGTGCCAAGGAAAACTATAAGTCAATGGTTTTAAGGCTTGCTGGCACAGAACTGACCCTGGCTGGACCAAGGGCAGATGTTTGAAAGAATGCCAGACTTAATTTCTCATCCTCGTACCATTTTGTTTGTGCGCATGTGATGTTCAGAGCAGACGCGTGTTAATTGCATCCGAAATGCCCTCTACCTTCTTGGGAGAAGGTGATTCCTTCACTCTCTATCACTATGCGCAAGCCAGTCATCCATTTTCATGATGTGTTACCATTCCTCCGATAAGGTGAACACCTTACGGGCATAAAAAATTTTAATATGGTTTTGGTTCAAGCATTCACGCACAAAACAACTGTGTTTTTCTCTTAGCTCTTTCTCGACCAATCCAGGGAGAAAATGGGTTAATAAATCCTCTTTATGACTTGTTGAAAGGCGGGCAGGAGATGAAAAGTGGGTTTGCTAACAAAGTAGGCTGAACATCAGTAGATGTAATGGACATTGCTGGATTTAAGAACAATAAGTCTATATTTTCCAAAACTTTTTTTAACCTTTTAGAGCAGGGGTCCTCCAGCTGTGGCCCTCCAGATGTTGCTGAACTACAACTCCCATGATTACCTGGCTATCTATGTAAATTAAAGAATCATGGGGGTTGTAGTTCAGCAACATCTGGAGGGCCACAGTTGGAGGACCCCTGCTTTAGAGCAACATGTTGCATCTTCGCTCTCTCTTGTGCCAAGGGTTAACTCCGACCTCTGGATAAATTTGATGAAAGGGATGAATTGTGATTTTCCTTTCTATTAAGCTAATACAAAAAAATCAAACAAATCAAATTGCAAACTGTTGCTTGGGAAGTCTGGTTTCACTTAAATCTCCTGTGAATTCACTCTGTTGGATTTCTACGAAAAATATTTTGGCATTATAATTGCTTAAAGCTAGAAGCACACGGAGTGTTTATCTCGTCTGGTAGATGTCGTTATAGAATCTCATGAATCTGGGTACTAGATGTTACTACATTAGGTTAAACCTAACGTCCCTTACTTGTTTATAAAAAAAAAAGAAAAAAAAAAAGAAACAATATATTCTTCAGCACAGTGCAGAGGGCAGATTTATCGTTTAAAATCACAGGTGCAATATGTGACCGTGGTATTGGTCACAAGAGTTTACAATTTATAGTAATGGATGTGGGATGCTGATGTGATTATTTGCTAAAATAGTTAAAGGACCACTCTAGGCACCCAGACCACTTCAGCTTAATGAGGTGGTCTGGGTGCCTGGTCCAGCTAGGGTTAACCCATTTTTTCATAAACATAGCAGTTTCAGAGAAACTGCTATGTTTATGAATGGGTTAAGCCTTCCCCTATTTCCTCTAGTGGCTGTCTCATTGACAGCCGCTAGAGGCGCTTGCCGCTTGCCGCTCTTGCCGCCCGTGCGCATTCAGCCGACGGGGAGGAGAAGAGGAGGATCAGAGGAGGAGAGCTCTCCGCCCAGCGCTGGAAAAAGGTAAGTTTTAACCCCTTTCCCCCTTCCAGAGCCGGGCGGGAGTATGTTTTCCTGGCACTATAGTGGTCCTTTAAAGTTAAATGTTCTTCTATCAAGAGGACATAGTATTAAATTAGAGGGGCAAAGGTTTAAAAATAATATCCGGAAGTATTACTTTATTGAGAGGGTAGTGGATGCATGGAATAGCCTTCCAGCTGAAGTGGTAGAGGTTAACACAGTGAGGGAGTTTAAGCATGCGTGGGATAGGCATAAGGCTAACCCAGCTATAAGATAAGGCCAGGTACTAATGAAAGTATTTAGAAAATTGGGCAGACTAGATGGGCCGAATGGTCCTTATCTTCCGTCACATTCTATGTTTCTATGTTTGTCATTTGGCTACTTTGGATATATTGAGAGCATTTTTATTCACTAAACTGACAAGTGAGCTGCATATTTTATTTCAGACTCTCACACCCAGTGGGTACCACAATCGTTTTTCCAGCCATAAGGAGACAGAGCCGAATAATATGTTTACACTTTCAAATGTTATTGAAAGCGCTCAATCAAATGGTAAAGATTAGATTTGATTTTATTACCTATCCAGATATTGAAAATAGTTTTCAGCCAAAGTCAGTTATAGTGTCCGTATTATTGGTTTTAATTCACTGCAACTTTGTATCTATTGTATGGCATTGTGATCACTGTCGTGTGACTTGTACAGAGACGCCAAGGATTCAGACCTTAAGGACCACCGACACATCAGGAATTAGTCATTTAATGACCAAATGTCTCCCTAAAGACCTTATAACAGCATGGAATGTTCTGATAACTTTGGGAGCTCTGTTGAGCAATGCATTTGTTAAGTAGCTGGGGTAATCTATTTTGAAATGGGTTGTTATGATGGCATATACATGACATGATGACATTGATCTTTAAGTGGTTAAGAATAAAGCTGGTCTTATTGCTTGATGATGGACATACATTTAATTGTCTGCTTGCTTTTTTTTTTATAATTCATATATTTTGGTATCTGGGTACTTCCATTAGACATCACAAGCGTACTATCGGGCTGCTGTAATTATCTTTTAGTTCGTGACCTACTACCTGGATATCCCGTTCATTTTCCATTGCAGAAATCAATATATGTTCTTGGGTCACTTAACAGAAAAGCAATGGGGTTAAAAGTGGCTGGAGTAAAGGAATCAGCATAATAGTCTGCGCTGAAACCTGGTTGGCTGGTCCTCCGCGCCTCGTCTCGAGGGTCGCAGCAAATTATTAATATCAAAGAACATTGAAAGAAAATATTGATTTTGCTGTGTAATAAAAATAGCGGAACAAAATGAAAAACAATAACAAATGGTGTTAAAATATATATATATTTAACTGTTGGGTGAGCAAGTTCTGAAGTTTATCTGGTCTGTTGGTGACGGTGCTTTTTGACCTAAGTTTACTGCAGGAGGGCCGACCGCTCCTCTTGTATGTTTGGATTCAGGGACTGTGATTTTGTACCACACATAGGCTTATTATTATTGGCATTTATATAGCGCCAACAGATTCCGTAGAGCTTTGCAATATTATTAGAGGGGGGATTTAACTATAAATAGGACAATTACAGGAAAACTTACAGGAACAATAGGTTGAAGAGGACCCTGCTCAAACGAGCTTACAGGCTTAAAAAATTGGAAGTTGTAGTCCAGCAGTTTGAATAGAGGTGCAGTTTCCACCCCCAGGTTGGGGATTTTTAGAGCTTATTTCTGTTAGAATGAGTAAATCGTTGTTTTGTTTTTTTGTTTGTATTTTTTTTGATTGCCTTACAGCATTTTGTCTTATGAAATTATTTCAGACAAACAATACGGGGATTAGCTTCAAGGATCAATTTTGTGTTTATCAATGTGTCTTGTCTGCCAAATCAAACAGTGCTTAATGTTGGAAGAAGAAACAGATGATCGAATCCAATATTGATTAGCCGTTGATGCAGCTTCACCTGTCTATCATGTTGCATTACCAGAATTCAAATCTTATTTATTAAACCTGTTCCAAAGTCAATTAAAAGCACAGGCTGATTAAAGGGTTTCTCTTTAACCCCTTTTTCATAGTGAATAGATGAATGCCTTATTCTAGATGTCCTCACTAGAAAAACGCTAAAATGGCGTTTTTACAATTAAGTTTTACTAACATTAATCCAGCCCTGGGCGAAGCTTCCTGGCGCTGCTAGGCGCAACTCCGTTTGAGGTCATGGGGGCTGTGTGGGGACTAATCAAAGGCTTCTCCTAGAGAAACCTTTGATTGAAGCATTTTACCAGCTTAGTGTGCATGCGCATACTTTGAACCGGCAAGGGGATGGGGAGGGAGAGAGTGAATCAATGAGCCGGAAGGGTAGGATTAAAATAAATACAACTGCGGACTGGATAGGGAGGCAGGCAGGGTTAAATTCAGTGTGGGAGGGAGGGTGGGCAGCCACAAGCTTCCCTTTGCAGGCTCTGCATTGGAGAAGCAGTAACGTCTGTTGCCATTATGCAGTACGCGCTGACGACATACGTAATTTATGCATAGAATTGATATTAGGCAGCCGGGAACAGAGTTCTGGGCTGTCTAAGTCACACATGCTGGGCGTGCAACTTGTCCCCAGCACACAATTAAGAATAGCTGAAACACTGAACATCCAAACTCCTACCACCATGACCACTTCCAAAAACAGAAGTGGTCATGGTGGTTAGCGTAACTCTTTAAATGTGTGTTGGGCAGCAACTGCAGCTGATATAGTTACATAGTGATCCAGGCTAAAAAATAGGATTAAAATTCATCATGTCTGCTGAGATTTGGAGATCACTATTACAAACATGTATCTGCATTTTCTATTAATACTTGGGTATAATCGTCTATTGTTCACCCCAGTTAGAGTCTCGTACGCCCAATATATATTATGGTCCCTATGCAGTATTGATCACTAGGGAGTGTCTGGAGGTCTTAAGGATGATGGGTCTGGAGATACTATGGTACAGAAGTCAGCAATGTGTCTGTAGAGAACTGGTATCAAGCCTCACTGTGTAATCTTATTGTTCCGCTGCAGTCCATCGTTCATGAGTATTACGCTACTTGGGTCAAGTCAGGTGTTTGTCGTCGATACACGTGAGTTTATAAAAGCATATACGGTGTACATGTCAGGTGACTTGAGTAATGCCCATTGTGAGTATTGAGTCAAGGGGATTAAGCGTCTTCAGTAGGGTAGCTGGATATGTGGGTAAATTAGCTACATCTGCATCTTATGATTTAAAAACCTGAGAGGCTTGTCAATCGGTACACTGTATGTACACTGTGGTGTCTATCCCATCGGTGTGACGGCAATGTAGCTGCCATGAATTGGAGATAGGAGTAGAGGGTCTGCTATTTGGAGAAAAGGTTTCGACTGAAGGTGAGAGTGGGAGGTACAGAAGTTCAAGAGAAGTAAGCTAGGATGAGAATAGAGGTGAGATTGAAAGTGAGGCGTGCGTGGGCCCATAGTTTGTGAGGTAGTGCTGTATTCCATACCCTAGTTCTCTAGAGTACCGTTACATGGTAGTTTTTGCAGAAATCTGATAATGCAAGACCGCCCCATGCTGTCGGGAGACAGAGTTTAACATTTAGCTTATTTAATGTAAGCAAAACATATTTATTTCAGGTGTCCTTGGAATTTTCAAGAAAGCTGTTTGAACCAGTGGCGTACATACCGCAGTCGCAGGGGTTGCAGTCGCGACTGGGCCCGTCACTCCAGGGGGCCCAGTCACCCTGCGGACCCCTGCGACCGTGTACCCGCCACCATCTTTTGCAGCCCCAGCCCGCATGGCAAACCGCCGGTGCCGCCGTCCAAGGGGTCCATCGGTTGGCCCATGCTGTACTGGACCCCACTCTCTTGCACCTAAAAGGTAGGAAACAGGAGGATGACTTAAACATTGTGTGTGTGTGTTTGTTTGTATGTGTGTGTGTCTGTCTGTATGTGTTCCTGTCTGTTTGTATGTGTCTTTGTATGTATGTGTGTCTTGTGTGTGTGTGTGTGTGTCTGTCTGTATGTGTGTGTTACGGAGATGCAATATTACCCAGGTTATCTCCGCTTGTAATCCAAGTGAGACTCAGGAACAAGTAAATAGTACATCCAAAGGCAGGGTTTCCAGCAGGTAAAATACAGCAATATCCCAACAGCAATCCCAATAACTGGACGACACACAGTTTCAGGAGCATAACTGACAAGCCTTTAATCACAGTCTCCTTATAAAGCATGCTCCCATGCAAGGGAGGGACTTACAGTAATTATTACAGTAGCCAATCCTGTCCTGGTAACCTCCCACACATCTCCTCCCCTCAGCCAGCATCATAATCCCCTTATCCAGCACACCAATTCCCCCCATTTCTGAATGTACCCCTAAACGTAGGGGTACCTCTTTAAATCATACATCCCCTGGTAGCCCTGGTCTGGGTGAACAACATATCCAAAAATCACCCAGATCAGACCAGGGGTTCGGGAAAAGTATGGAGGGAATAAAATGAGGGAAGTGAATGGGCCTTGCGGTCGGTCCTGGCATAAGGGAATAAAATACACGAAAGCCTCTAGCTATAGAGGCTAGGGAGGGTTCGCCTGAATCCCCTCGTTCGGTATTCTCTATCTACCGAACGAGGGGCCGTTCGGTAGTTTGGAACCGAACGGACCAGGGCTGTGGAGGTCTCAGCGGTGTTCGCCTACTCGAGTGTCCGATTTTAGTTCCAGACACTCGACGGCAAAACACCGCTGTTCGGGAGTTTTAAAATGGCCGCCGCCACGTGTTCGTTTGTCGAATGGCGGCCACCCCCGAGAACAAAGGACGGCTACTTACTGTTCAATTACCCGTTCGCAACAATGTTGCAACGGGTAATTGAGGACACACTTCACACAGGGGAGGTCTGGTTGTTCGGTAGTTTCATTCAAATAAACTAAGGGAATGAAACTACCGAACAATCAGAGAAATACAATTCTTTTTAATACACAGAAAATACAGCAGATACACGGATGCAGCTTTATACAGTATTTTTTGTATGGTCGCCTGGTGCCATCCGCTACAGTGTGCCTGTCTGTTTGTATGTATGGGTCTTTGTATGTATGTGTGTCTTGTGTGTCTGTCTGTCTGTATGTGCGTGTGTGTCTGTATTTATGTGTCTGCCTGTATGTATGTATGTATGTATTTATGCCTGACTGTTTGTATGTATGTGTCTTTCTATGTGTGTGTGTATGTCTGTCTGTATGTATTTATGCCTGTCTGTTTGTATGTATGTGTCTTTGTATGTATGTGTGTCTTGTGTGTGTGTGTGTATGTGTCTGTCTGTCTGTCTGTGTCTGTCTGTATGTGTGTATGCATGTGTGCCTGTCTGTTTGTATGTATGTGTCTTTGTATGTGTGTGTGCCTGTCTGTGTGTGTGTCGGTCTGTATGTGTCTTATGTGTATGTTTCTGTATATGTGTTTGTGTGTGCGTGTCTGTCGGGGGAGGGACTGGAGAGGGGGAGGGCACGGATCAATTTCGCACTGGGGCCCCATGGATTGTGTGTATGCCACTGGTTTGAACCTTTCACGTTTCTAAGATACTTTTCACCTCATCTAGAAAAGAAGTTCTTAGCTCTTGAGTGGAGAACGTAAATGTAGGTCCCCCGTAGTTGTAAGAGACACAGCATGTGAATCAGGCACATATTAAAGTGGCACTGCCTGTCCATGGACAATACTTTGAAGACAATAGTGAATGTGTTTGGTAAAATCCATATTGTTACATTACAACTGAAGAATAGGGGGTGTGGTGGTAATTTTAAAATGTCCTTTTTATACTGTTAAAAATAATAATAATAGTAATCTGTTTTTTAGGACTATATGTTCCCAGCCATTACAATGACCTCTGTCCACCATGTATTAAGAAAAATGCAAGGTTAATATATTTGAATCACCTTGCTTATAGTCACACCATCACTGCAGCCACCCACTCCGCCTCCTTCTTCACCAGCAAGCATGCGGACATCTTCTATATTTTCGTTCAAATCAATACTTCTCATAGAGAAGTATTGTAGACAAGAAGCACTTGGTTATGGCAGATGAAGCACCCTCTAGTGGCTGTCTACAAAACTGCAATATTTTACATTACAGGAATACTACTATAGGGCTACTACACCCACACCACTTTATTGGGAACAAGCGATCTGGGCACCTATAGTCATCTTTTCACTATTTAAGAAGTACAACATTCCTTCATATTTTTTGCAAATGTAATACTGAATAAACGTTATCAGTTTTAACATGTAAGACTATAAAAGCACACATGTGGTACTCCATGATGTCATGCATGCAACATTATAACCGGTATATAGTTTGTGTGCTATCACATGCAGAGAGCATTACTGAAAGTAGATGTTGAAAATGTGCATGCGGACATGTGACGTATTATTTTACTCCCCCCAATATTCCCCGATCTAGTGGAACTGTCTTGAGTTCGGGCTGGTGTCCCACATCTGGGGGCGTCAGGGAACTATCCCCAACTGGCACAATGTGAAGGAAATATTAACAAATTAGCGCTCTGCTGAGGGCACTAGCTTCATGCCAGGATGGCTTCAGACCTCTGCTCTTAATGGGGAGGGATACCCATTTTTTACATCACCAATCTCGTGTATGCCCCTTTAGGTCTCCTGTCCCTGTTTGATATCACCTAGAGGTAAGAAATATGCATTATGCTAATACACATAAGTACTAGTGCCCATAATTCCTGTCTCTGCAGTGAACGTCACATAGTTTTGTCTGCCACAATCAATAGGAACATTTTAATCCTCTCCATTGTAACAATTTGGAGAGCAATCAATGGTGGCCAACTGTAGGAAAAGTGAGAGAACCCAATGTGCTCTTAGAATCTTTTCAGATAGGGAGCTGAGGTCATTTGCTGTGTACTGGGTCAAACTGACTTTGAAGTAGACCTTATTAAAAATCAATAATGTACATGAATTCCTGGGATACTTGTTTTTGAAAGACCTTAATAAGTAGCAAAATAATTAGCTGAATGCTGGAATGGGTACAGGATGGACAACCCAAATCGCTATAGAACTAAATAAAATAATAATAATAATAGCAGATTCCTTATTAATTCCACAAACCACAAGTGAAAGTTTGGAGGTTTTTAATGGGTTTAAAGGGTATTTTTTTTAAATACAGAGAGAAAGATAAAGCACAAGAGAGGACACTGGCTGTTTAAGGAGGAACTGTCAGTTCTTCGACAGTTCCTCAATTCCTCACACTATTAATTGCTATTGAAGGTGAATTGTGAAGCCAAAGTAAGTAGATATACACACCTCCATAGTAATGGCGACATCAGAAATGGTCACCTTCGCTTGGACATCTGCTGAGAAATTCTCTACGAGTATTCTACTTTCAAATTGCCAAACTAGCACAGACCTCTAAGAGACCACGGGGTGAGAGTTAGAGGGGGTAAAATGCATTTACACTGTGTACTCTGGCTCACCCAGGAAAGCCAGACATGCAATATAAGCTAAATATCAAGAACCTCAGATTTATTTTTAAAATGCTCTTGGCCTATCATTTCTGTCCAGGCTTGACAAATTCGCATTTGTCAATCTCTCCAAATACGTGGTTTCTTAAAGTATGCAATATTATTCTTAGACTTAACACTTAGTGTACGGTGAAAAAAATTGTGTAGAAGGATCAGCAAAAAAAATGACCAAAAAAATAAATAATAGTTATAATTAGGGCAGCCGAATTTCATTGACGCCTTAATATCGTCCGTGCAAATGATTTTGGAAAACGTATTTGGACAAACCAAACGGGAGTGAAAATTGAGCCCATCACTGTACTGCAAAATATATACATAACATTTATATGTGTGTATGTATATGTGTGTGTGTATATATTTATATACACTGATCAGCTGCAACATTAAAACCACTGACAGGTGACATGAATAACACTTATCATATTGTTACAATGGTACCTGTTAAGTGGTGGGATATATTAGGCAGCAAGTGAACAGTCAGTTCTTTAATTTCAAGTGTTGGAAGCAGGAAAAATTGGCAAGCGAAACGAGTGACTTTGACAAGGGCCACATACTGATGACTGAAAAGTTACTGAAAAACTGCTGTGTACTTAGCCACAGACCAGTCGGAGTACCCATGAGTGCACTGTTGAAAGTGCCTTCAATGGGGACATGAGCGTAAGAACTGGTCCGTGGAGCAATAGAAGAAGGTTGCCTGGTCTGATGAATCATGTTTTCCTTTAGATCAGTTGAATGGCCGGTTGTGTGTGTGTGTCGTTTACATGGGGAAGAGATGGCAGCAGAATTAACAAGGGGAAGAAGGCAGACCGGCGGAAGCAGTGTTATGTTCTGGGCAATGTTCTGCTGCAGAACCTTGGGTCCTGGCATTCATGTAGATGTTACTTTGACATATACCACCTACCTAGAGATTGAAAATCACGTACACCCTTTATGGCAATGATGTTCCCTGATGGTATTGGTCTCTTTCATCAGGATAATGCACCCTGCCACACTGGAAACAATTTTTCAGGAATGGTTTGAGGAACATGACAAAGAGTTCCATTTGTTGCCTTGGCTTGCAAATTCCCTAGATTTTAATTGAATTCAGCATCTGTGAAATGTGCTGGAACAACAAATCCAATCCATGGAGGCACCATGGATCACAATTTGCAGGACTTAGAAGATCTGGTGCTAATGTCTTGGTGCCAGATATGACAGGACACATTCAGAGGTCTTGTGGAATATAATATATATATATATATATATATATATATATATATACACAGGTATATATATATATATAATTGTATTTTTTTTAGATTACAGAATCATTTTTGTGACCTTTTATTGAAGCTAATTCCGGTCGGAATTCGGTCAACTGGTATTCTAATATTCAAATTTCGGCCACATTTAACCAATATTTGAGATTTTAAAGATTTAGGTACTCTTGAGCTTTTAGTTGCATATTTTAAGCATTTGCCTGGCTGATCCCTGGTTTATTTCTTTATTTCTTTATTATTTATTTATTTGATTTCTTTATATATTTGATTAAGTGACAAACCTACTCAACCATTGTGTGTGACATTTTTTCATGATATGTACATTAGGTGCTTAGAACTTTCGGTCGACCCGCCAAAAAATAATAAGCCACATAAAGTCGTGTAACTGCAATAACGATAGTCTACCTTAATTTTGTACAAAAGCTTGAAGTCATCACAGATCAGCATCAGTTTGGCAATGTGTATCAGACACACAGGTGGCTAATAGTACTGCTAACCCCCAACAGTAATGTATAAATGTAAAAACAGCAAACTGTTCATTAATGATACTTTATTACTTTACAATTTCCGTGTCAGAATTCACAATGGCAATTTCACAGACCTGGATTCATTTTTCAAGCTTGCTTATTTTGGTTTTTACGTTTTTAATTATAAATTTTATTTTTCCACGATTGGTAGTTCAGTTCACATATATATATATATATATATATATATATATATATATATATATACATTTTGTTTATCTGCTTCAGCACAAGCTGCCAATTATAAATAAAATATTAGACCTATTTAGACATGATTGTCCCTTGGTAGCCCTCTTTGGACTTGCAAGTTGGCTAGCTTAGGTTACACTGCTGCCACTTGGCAGATTTGTCTACTATGTGATTTGTACATGCAGTGCTTACCGGAGGCAAGCTTAAAGGGACTCTGCGCACCAAAATAACTTTGATTAATAAAGTTGTTTTGGTGTTTAGGGCATGCCCCTGCAGTCTCACAACCTAATTCTGTGCCTTTTAGAACTTAAATCCTCTCCTGCCTGTTACTCTCATAGCCTCCCTGCACACCTATTGAAAAAGCTTTCCTTATTGCACAGTGTGCTTAGTTTCAAATATTTTTTTATTGCCTGAACTGTTAATATCTTGCTAAAGGCTAAACCCTTCTCTGCGTGATTAAAGTTCAATTAACTGAACAATAAGTGCTAAAGTAAAGACAATCACTGTAAAAATTAAACAATTTTTCTCATGCAGGCGGTGTGAGTCACGGCCAGGGGAGGTGTGGCTAGAGCTGCATAAACGCGATTTAACTCCTAAATGAGAGCAGAGAGCAATGAGCATTGAGATTGCAGGGGAATGATCTATACACTAAAGTGGTTTTGGTGCTTAGCCTGTCCCCTTAATGGATCAGGGGCCCCAAACCAATCCCTCAGCATGTTTGTGTAAGATTATAAATGTGTTATTTACCAAAAGAGCTTGACATGCAGGGCCAAAGTTAACCCCCCATTTTAATGCGTTAATAATAATAATATGGATCTACGAAATAAATGTAAAAAACTATTGAAATAAATTCTCTTCATTTGGCAGTCATCAGCAAATGTATTTATGCACAGCTTCTGCTAGCATGCTACTTCATTCAGAATTTTTTTCAGTAGGAGCTGTGGCGTATAGTTTATGGGTCGAGTTTGATTTTTTAATTGCAGTGATATTTGCAACGCTCTGCATTTATTGCCACAGAAGGAAGGCAAAGGTGATTGGAGTGTGAACAGCACTGAAGGTGACCTATTGATCACTAGCCAATCAGATAGCTGTCGGACCGTGTTTGAATCGCTAGAATTCCATACGAGAGCATATAGTAGATTAATGTATATGTGAAAAAAAAAAATCAAAGCGATTCTCGTCTCCTTTCCTCGTATGAGGAAGTCATCTGACAATTCCATCTTCATCCTGCGTTCCAAACACCTGGCTAACCTGAGGAGGCACTAAGGAAGCCTTTATAGCCGTACCACCAGTTAACAAGGTAGATCTTGTTAATTAAACTATTCTGTGCTATGTGTGGCATCCGCATCTGTTAAGTTTCACAGCATCTTATCACAGTCACAGTCCGTTACGGCAAAAGACAAATCACGTTGTGTCAGATGTCTAATCAAATAAAGGTGAAATGAAAAATTCCGTTGTATTAAATGCCAGGTTCCATCACATCAGACGGCAAATCACTTTGTCATCTTTTATCCGTTTGGTAATGTCATCATCATAATTACCAAAACTGTAATAAACTTACCAAAAGACTGTCATATTAACCATTTCAGGGCCCTGCACTGATTTAATAAGCAGTTGGAGGTATTTTATTATAGTGTTCTAAAAAACGGATACACTAAATACAAATAAAGACTATTCAAGGTTTTTTTTAAAATGTATTTCTCAGCAAATTTGTTAAAAAGTTGCGCCCAACTGCATATTAAATAAATTGTATTGCTTAGGTGCTACATCTAGCGCTAAGAGATAGCTCCCTACACTATAAGTGTACTTCCTTATGGTTTGGAAATGTGAGATACTGCACCATATATTTCTCCTCTGTTTTGCCACTACTTGTCATTTGGAATTTGAGGACCCCTCCAGGGCGCTACTCCCAATTTTTCATCTGCTATATTATATAGTAATCAAAAAATGTAATATATGAAAAGCTTCAGAGCAAAAATGATTCTTTACCAGTATCCACACTGCCATCTAAGGCGTTATAACTTGTTTACTGCCCCTGCAACGTATAAATTGTACTTGGAATGTAAGCTCTTTGGGACAGCACCGTGCTCTCATTAAATGCACATGTCCTCTGCATCAAAACATAAAGTATATGAAATCTGATGACTTTTTGTTCCCATTTCTTGAACAGATTGTTTATCCTCAAGAACATAAGTGTAGATAATTTGTAGCTAATAAGGAGTTCTCCAGATGTTAACAGACCCCAACACCCATCAGATCCAGTCAATATCTGGGTTTGCGAAGGAGGGCTTGGTCAATAACTGTTGTATTCTATAGTCACCATACTGCCTCTATCCTAAACCTATAGAGCATCTATAAATATATAGTAGTATATGATGGGAAGTCACGGAGAACGTGGCAGTCACCGTCAGTCTGTCCCGACCCCTGTGGACTCACGTGAACTTCACAGTTAGAAAGATCATGCATAGCGAAAACTACTTTTAAATGCAAATTGCTTCTTGTCTATAAATCTCCGCTCAATATGTAAATGTTCTATGCAGATTAGGAACAATCTTGCTGGCATTTGAAATGTTATCAGTTTGTACATTCTTCACTGGTTGGTTCTGAGAAAGTGTGGTTTGTGTGTGTAGGGGGTAGAGAAATTAATCAAAGGGAGAGGTTAGTTGGGTAAAGGACTTGTTTACAGGATCAGGATCCGGGAGGTCTTTCCTGACACATGGCAAATCCGCAGGAATTATGGCAATCTGCCCGGGTGACACGACAAACATACTTATAAATATTTATACACAATTTTATTACTTAAACCATTTTGGACCTCACTGTATCAAACTCCATGATTGCTAATCAGTTATTCTGAATATCCCTTAAAGGAACACTTTAGCGTTAGACATACAAATATCTATTTAAAAAGCTATAGTGCTCTATGAGCTATTTCGATTATTGGCCAACCACATGTACATTAAAGAAAAGCTTTTAATTTACCTGTAGTCACCCAGCATGCCGGTTTCCATTCGGCCGCCCTGCCTCTACTGCTGAGATCATCAGTCTTGATAGGAAAGCATTGGGAGGATAGTGCAAATGTGTGGCAAACCACCACGGTGCTCCAATCAGTATCTCCTCATAGAGTCGATGTGTCTCTATGGTCAGGCCTGGAGTGGCCATCGTGCAAACCGGGCAAGTGCCAGGTGGGCCGCCATGGACAGAGGCCAGCAGGGGAGATCAGAGTATCAACCCTGCCAGCACATGCAGAGCTGTGCTATCCATATGGCGGCCCTGCAGTGTGCCATGATGGGCCTTTGGGGGGGGAGATCAAAGATCTCCCTCACTGGTCTGCTGGCACTTTATTCTGGAGGGAGAGAGGAGAGGCCCCAGGAGCTCTATCCTGCATCTCCGCTGGATTTCTCTTACAAGGTCAGAGAGTTGGGGCAGCTACCATGGCAACACTCCGAACTAGTGACAGCGAACTCTAGCCCCAGGAGATGCAGGCTAGAGTTCACTCACCACTAGGACCACAATCATCATGCCCCCCCTCCCTAAGTAAAGGTAAAAAAGGGATGGGACATTTAAATTTATATTTTTACTTTAAAAAAACATGTAAATATATATTTGCTTTAATCTACACCCCTCACACACACCACCACTCACGCGCACACTGCACTCCTCTAACAAACACAAACTGCACCCTTCACACACACACACACACACACACACTGCACCCTTCACACACACTGCACCTCTCACACACACAAACACTGTACCCTTCACACACACACACACACACACACACACTGCACCCTTCACACACAAACACACATACATACACACATACATACACTCTGCACCCTTCACTCACACACACACACACAAACTGCACGTAAGACATACACACACACTGCACCCCTCACACATACTGCATTATTTACACACACACACACACACACTCTTTACCCATCACACACACTACACCCTTACAGACACAAACTTTACCCATCACACGTGCACACACTGCACCCCTCACACACACACTGCACCCTTTACACACACACTGCACACTGCACCCCTTTTACACACTGCAATCCTCACACACACTGCACCCATTACACACACACACTGCACACCTCACACACACGCACACTGTACTTCTCTCTCACACACACACACACACACACACACTGTTCCCCTCATACACACACTGCACCCCTACACACATTATATTACAGACACACACTGCATCCCTTATACACACACTCACTAGATCCCCTATACAACTCTGGATCCTTTATACACATACACACAATAGAACCCCTGTATACAAATGTTATACTCTGTACACACACTAAATCTTCTATACATACTCTGGGTCACACAATAGATCCCTTACAGGCACACACTGCACCACCTACACACACACACAGCATTCATGACATACACACTCTGGATCTCCTATGCACATGCTTGATCATCTGTAAGCAAACACACACTAAATCATCTGTGCCCTATGCACACCCTCGCAACATCCCCTATACACACTATGCCCCTATACACACATTCTCTACAGCCCCTTGCCACACATTTTAAACCACAAACACAACATAACAGAAACAGACATTTACACAAAACACCACACCGCAATCAACTCACTCTACACACGCAATCCCACAAGCAGCGTCCAAACACATGCACAATACGCTTCTCTGTCCTCTGGTATCCAACTTATGGAGACACTGGAGACAACTCACAAGCAAACATAAGAGAAGCATTTTAATAAATTTGCTTGTGCCGCACAGAACAAATATAGAGCCTTTTTCTCATGCAAGAGCTTTTCAGCAAGGCTCTGCGCTTGTGCTTCCCTGGAAGAGCATTGAACTAACATGCTTACTTAGAGCTCTTCTTAGAGCCCACTTCTCAGTGGGCCTCTGTAAGTCTATGGTGAGCGTTTGCAGGGCAGAATCCAGAAAGTCTCTTTAGTGGTTGTGAGAGTGTTAGCCACCAGAGGTGGATTTAGGCAGCATTATAAACACGGACATTTCTAAAAAAAAACTGCACGGACACAGGCTCCAAACACCAGAACCCTTACATTAAGCTGTAGTGTTGCTGAATTGTTTACAGGGTTGAAGTGTGCAAAAGAACAAACGGTAAAACACATTCTTGAATAAGCAAAATCCGTTTTTACTTTTAAAGTTGTATACTTCTAGATATATTAATAAAGGACACAACAATAACAAGTATAAGTCACAGGTTTGGGAATCGGGGAGACAGATCCCTCGCCACCTCAGGCAATTTTTAGGAGGAGTTAGAGAGTTGAGATTCTACCCAGTTATGATTGTTGGCCTTTAAAATCAAGTTTTACTGATTAAGAAAAAAGTACACAAAACCTATTTCAGCATGCCCTTTTCACATAGCTTTACATTAAGCTACATTTTTAGCAGGTAGATGCAACAAAATATGAGTGGTAAAACAAATATATTGATAATTTTTTGATCATTCCTTTATATGTTTGGAATAAATGATTTCTAGAAAAAAATAGAAAAAATTAAAAAAAGACACCCATTCTGACTTTTAATAATTAGTTTTTTTTAATGTAGTTATTTAATTATTTGGGGGTGGGAGGTGGGGGCGTGATGTTCCTACTTCGATATTTAAAAAATTGTTTTTCATATTGATTGAGAGAAAGCTGACGATGTGGTTGTTGGCATTGGCAAAATAAATTAGAAGAAAAGAAAACTTTGATATAGACTATTTTACTATCTCCAGATATACACAGTTTAATACATCTGTTTCTTAACAGTTGTATGCTCTGTGTTTGTTTTCTTTTCTTTAAATAATTTGGGGTTAGGCCCCTGGAGACCCCTCTTGGTACTGGGGAGATCTACCTCCATCAGTGACGCCAACTTTGGTGGACGTTGTATGGTGGAGACCGACCTCCCATCTATATATTTTTTGCAAAATAAATTAGGTCTAGATATATATATTTAAAAAATCAAACTGCTTCAACTTCTAATTTGTTGATTCAACCATTGACCCATCTCTCTCCTTTGGACTGGGTGCTATGTAAACAAACATAAGCCTTTATCCCAGTAACAGCTGGCACAAAAATTGTTACCCTTACTTTTAGTTGGAGATGGAACATATCATCAGTAGAATTTATTTCCTTCACTTTAGCCATCCCGTGGAGTATTCTGTATGTCTTAGAAATCTGCACCGTAGGAAGAATCTTGAGTTCTGGACTGCGCTGTTACCGGATTCCAAAAACTCTGGATAAAACAGACAGAAATAAACAGACAGCTGATGTATCTGTGAAAAGTTCAGGAGAAAGCTGACAGATCTTTCATTGAATAGTCTGTTTTTTCCCCTATGCAGAGTGACCTTTCATATTTCGTATCTGTACGGCACACTGCCATCAATCGAAAGTGACACCTCTTGCCTGGCTGAGATGTCTAATATAGGTGGGAGCCGATAGGTCTTTTTCTGTGCATAACTGTCAAAGTTATCCACACCAACTCATCTTTTTTTATATAATGTTCCTTGCATTCTTTTTTTTTTCCACCCAAAATTTTTGTTTCAACAAAATGTTCTCTCTTTTTCTTGGGCTGTTATTTTTTGGATTTCCTCACCCTACCTTTGGTAAAATAGGAAAGGGCCCACCCATGTTCTAAAGTTATGTCTTTTGAGAATACAATTGTCCTAAAGTTGGGTTTTGGGATAGGTTAGTCAGATTTATGATGAGATTTAAGAAATGTACCTGTGCTTATATAAATATATATTTAAAAATCTGTATCAAAAAAAAAAGAATGTAGAATCAAGGGGAAACAAATCCTAAAATAAAAACAAAACAAACAATACTGTACAAAACAGACCGTTGATGTCCGTGTGAAAAGTTCAGCAGACAGTTAACAGAGCTTTTATTTGATATTTTTTTATTTCCTCTGCAGAGTGATCTTTCATATTTTATATTCATGTGGTGATCTTAAAAGTATGGTTTACTCAACGCGTTTCACAATTGCTGAATTCCCCCCCCCCCCACGAAAATACTGTTTAAGGAAATATTCATCTATTTTGTTGAAGATCTACTATCTTATGTCAGAGTTACACCTCTGGGGCAGCCTTGACTGACCATAAGTCCAAGTGATGTATCTCTCTGCCTTACCGCAGCTGGTTCACTTGAAATGAGCCTTGAGAGGATGATTTAACAGTACAGCTCTGAATGTGACGTAGCACAGATGTTTGAGTGGCATTTTGTCAACCAGACACTTTCAGTGCCACAAGAAGGGAACGCGGATAGATGACTCCAATATATGTCCAATCTTTTTTTCTTCAAATTTTTCTTTTATCGAGGATTGCTAAATGAAAACATGTGAGACTTCTTTTAGGCATATAACGTCAGCTGATTATATCATCCCAGCACTGGTGCCCTTTAGCTGCCCAAGTTAATGATTCTGCATTAGCCTATTCACAAATGGAGAGGCAGCAGATGATTGCCTGTGGACACTTCTTCTGTGTTAAACCATTCAAAAACTGTTGAACAAAAGAAGGTCCCTTAGATGTTTGTAAACTGCAATTCCTATGAACCCCAACAAGGCTTTTGGTTTTTCTGAACACTATGGGAATTGTATATCACGTACATACTTTTCAATAACCTGCCACGTCCCCCCTCATTTGTATTTCCCTAGCCCCCTTAATTATATATCACTCCCTAAATATCTCTCCCTCCTAACACAATATCTGTAGGCTGAGTGAGCTGTCAGTAACTAGTGGGGCGCTTTGCAATGCTTGTCTTTGTCTTGCTTCTCATCCTTAATATTTAAACAGCTCAAGACTGGCGAGAGTACTTTCAGTGCTGGGGGTGAGAACACGGTGAAGTGTCAAGTCTTCACCTCTATTTTACTATACAGTTATTCATCCCATTTAATTACTCAGGTAAGATAGACGGCAACATGCGGTCACTGAGGCATGCCCTGGGTTATATCTGGCACACTACAGGAACTCAGGAACTAGCAGTATGGTAGCTCCCCCTTGTCTGTGCATGCCCTATGCAATCACACAGGTCACAGACCTCTAAATCCAGCTCTGCTGTCATGTTGCATGTGTATGTGGGCAGCCTTTTATAAACTGTCTTGGATTGGGCATGTATGTGGTTTGCTTGTAATATTTTTTAAGTTGTTGCAGGATATCTGTAGTATTGTATGTGTGGCCTGACTCTTGGGTTATGTGTGTGTGTGCTGTCTGTAATATTAACTGTGTGCATGTGGTATGCTACTTAGGTATGTGGTGGGGGCTGTCTGGTGTTGTTTTCATGCATAAGTGGATGGTCTGTGGCATTGTTTGGGGGGCTGTTTGTATTGTTGTGTGTGTTGGGGTCTTTGAAGGAGTATTGGGGAACCCTTTACTGAAATAAACTTTATTATACATTATTTTTTCTATTTGACTACTTTTGGTCAAGGACGGGGGCAGAAATCTTTGTTAATCCTTGGTAGTACTGTGATAAAGATTGCAGTCTGCACCTTCCACAGGTGCAGACCTCTTCTGTCTCTCACTCAGGTCTGGCTCTTTATCAGTGAGTTTGAGCATTGCCATAGTAACCCACGGCAAAGCTCTGAATCACTGGAAAGCACCTGGTCTTGTGGGAGGTGCAGTCCGCAGACTCCCTTCGGCTCTCAGTGCTGTGGCACTCTTGGCCCGCAGACTCCCGTCTGTTCTCAGTGCTGTGGCACTCTTGGCCCGCAGACTCCCGTCTGTTCTCAGGGCTGTGGCACTCTTGGTCAGCTGGGGAGATCCTCTGGTTTCCCCATCTCCATTTGGGTCCGGTAGCCTTGCATGCCATACAAAGGAATCCAACATAGGTTGCCAATCCCTGGTAAGAGGTCATCTGAAATCTTCATATTTGCCCTCCACTCGAACCCTGTGGGCAGCTGATCAAAAAACACTTGACACTGAACAGTGGTACCTTGCCAGGGAACCCCAGGCACCATAACCACTTCACTGAAATGTGGTGGTTATGATTCCTGGTGTAGAATATCCCTCACACACACACACACACACACACACACAACTGTTTTATTCTCTTAAACAGAGCATTGCACATACATGACATTGGATTGAGCTCAAACGTGGCTTTCGCATACATCGTAAAAAAGCTTGAATAACACATTGTGAAAACATCAAATGTTTATTTTAAAAGCAAAGCTTAGGTGGAGGCAGTTTATAGAAGTGGATTCTTTGTAGCAGACACGCTGTTTAAAAGGACACTCCCAGCGCAATCACAGCCTTTACACCTTGCACAAATTGGTATCATTCTAATTATTCTTTTTTGTACATTTGCTAATATATCTATAATGTAACCTTGAATTTTGCGTGTTTTAGTGTTTGTTCTGCACTGCGTTGTGTTAAGTATTTACTCACCCATAGTCATCTCCTGCATCGATTATTTGTGGATCTGATACATGGATATAAACTTATTCATACAGTTCTATATTATTTAAATATATATATATATTTTTTTATTTTATTTATTTATATAAAGTAAAGAGCTAAATCCAAATGATGAAAGTATTTACAGCTGTCTACGGTTTAGAAAGTAGACACATTAATAAAAGCAAATAAACCTTAAAATTATTTTTTTTCTTATCATTAACCCCTCCAAGTCCAAATACAAATCCGTGAAATCCTAAAATAATTACACGAAGTGCAATGAAATGGTCTGATAATGTGTACCTGATATGCCTACAATTAGTTAACTAATAGAAAACAGTTAATAAAAACAATCTGATAATCTCATCTAATGCCACATTGCGGGGAGGAGGAAGGGGGACTCAATCTTCCTTACTCCTGCTCGCGTGTTTTGGCTGCCATAGAGTGTGGCGCGTGCATTGTACGTTTGAAAAGATCGCTAATCCTTTTCAGTTCACCATGGCAACCGCAGCGTCTGTAACAGGGCCCTTGTCAATGCATCATCTGCATTCCGGGGTTAACCCTGTGAAGATCAGAATATCGCATTGCACTGAAATGTATTTCAACCTCCTCCTGGGTTTCCAGAGAGTTAAAACGCTGGTTGATCACACAGCGACACGTAGATCACTATGACATTTCCATTGATCCAGTTATATGGAATTATTCTCAAAGTGGAGGGGAAAAAAAGAAAGGCTTTCGTTTTGCTGCTAATCCCACACATCGCTGTGCTATTAAATTAATACCACGTTAGGCTTCGGGCATTAATTAAACTTCACAATCTGTTCAGAAGTACACATTTCATAGCGTTTTGTGTTGTGGTTGAGATGGTTGAATTTGCTCACAGTACTTGATTATAATTGCACTTATTCGGGCGCTTGTATTTTGTAGCTGAGTCTGACAGGTCCGGTCAACTGTATTTGTGCGAAATCAGCTCTCAACGTAATTGGTTTGATCAGATACATTGTTTCATGATTTCTATTATCGAAGATATAGTTGCATCACAAACTATGGCTGTCTAGGATCCAAACCCCTCTGTCTCTATTCTGTCACAGTGTCTCTTTTTTTACAGCACAAACTGTTAGGTGTGTGAATGTGGATATAAAACTGTATAATCCACTGAAAAGTTAATTTAGAAATCCTGGGACAGTGCGCCCAGATCACTTCAGCTCATTGACGTGGTCTGGGTGCACTGTCCCAGGTTCATTACCCTACAACTGTAACTATTGCAGTTTTTAATAAACTGCAATAATTACCGTTGAGGGTTAACTCCACCTCTAGTGGCTGTCTTGTATCTACCAGACAGCCACTACAGGGATTTCTGGGTCATTAGGCGGCTTTTGGTCATCTGACGCTGGACGTCCTCACACTATTCATGAAGACATCGGTCACCCAAAGCACCATAGGAAAGCATTATACAGTATAATGATTTCCTGTAGTTTAATTCTTAATGTGAGCATGGTCATTGCCATGCACGCGCATTAGATCTCCCCTGCCGTCTGACATCGGCGGGTGAGGCGCGGAAGCAGAACCTATACCAGTGCCGAAGGACATCAGCGCTGGACTCAGGTAAGAGACTGACGGACTGAAGGTGGATTTTAACTACGGGGGGAGGGAGGAGGAGCATCGGAAGGGGACACTATAGGGAGCTATAGTGCCAGGAACTTTATTTTCCTGGAGCTATAGTTTCAATTTAAATTCACCTAAAGTTCTGTAGAAAACATCCCTTTCCCCAACATAGTTTGACGTTCATCTACCATAAAGAAAGTGATTTCAAATCAATCTTTTGAGACTTCCTCAACTTAAAATGCTTTACCTACATCAATCCTGTGGGGGTAGCGTTGTTTTCTACTCCTCCGTGCCCCCCATATACTTACACAGCTTTCAGAATACATGAACAAGAAACTATTACAAATTGAATTTGGTGCAAAAAGCAGCAGAATAACTTGGAATTATATTTCTTCCTGTATTTACAAATAAGAAAAATAGTTTTGTCCTTTCCTAAACTTATGTATTTGTTCCAGTGCATTTCTTTCTTTAGTGATCCATAGAATTATATGACACACATCAGCCCAGTTCCCCCCGACACAATGTTGACATAACATCAGATGAATGCACAGCCATAAGACCCGCTCGGTCCAGCTCTGAGATAAGTAGACATATGAAGCTCTTGACGCATGGCTGGCATAGACTTCTGTAATGCCAGGCAAGCTGCCGACAGCAATTGTATAGACTGACAGTGTCTGAGTGTTGGCAGGAGAAGCTGCTGATAATCTTGGATTTTTTCCCTATCAGTTGGTATTATTTGTTCCTAACGAAATCCAATATCCTGTTCACCTTCTGTTTCAATCTTCACTCCAAGGAATTGCTGTGCGAACATTCAGAGTGCGCGTGCTCCACCTCGTGCAGTCTTTTACCCAAGTCTGTACGTTTAGTTAAACAGGCCAGACTAAACTGATCAAGAGTTTGCTATCTCAAAAAATGAAAAGGGCTTGAAATATTGTGTAATTCTCTCCATCATATTAGCATTTTATGACAATGTCCAGTAACTTCCATTAATGTGTCAGCCGAATTTAAAGTACCATTAAACATATTGTGATGGAGTTCATGTACATCCATTTAGTCTGCTAACTAGCTGCTTGCAGGACCCTGGAATGCTTCCGACCCAGTCGCCAAAGCTTGACTAGGGTCTCTCTGGAACTCTTCCACCCGTCCAGGCTGCAGCTTCCTTCTTCCAGGCAGGTATCATCCCCTCCGCCTTTGTCTCTTTAGGTCATTTCCCAGACATGTATCCACACTGTACAGTGATTGCTCTTGTCTTTATAAAGACACTTGTGGCTCTCACGTCTAGCTCTCCTATTTTTCCCCAGCTACAGATACCATACAACCAGCCAATAGGAATGACAACTTTGTTACTTTGATCCCTGAGCAAATCCAAACTGGACACACCGTTCCAAAAGGAGCTAACATACAAAACTTTATTTTTTCTTGGCACTAGCCCATTTGCTCCTTACATTTAACTTATAGTGAGATCTCAATAAAAATACAAATAATCAAATCATATCAGACAGCACACAGTGACTTATAATAACATAATGACATATATATAAAAAGGCGGGGAAGACAATAATTAACACAAAATATCTCTCCTGCCTGCAAAATTAGCAATATGCAAATCTACCTGAATATGCAAATTAACAAGTCTTGCGCTACAGGTAGTGCATATAGCTGTTGCTACCAACATAGGGGGCTATACAGGTCTCATAGCTAAATACACCTAGTTGGTAACAAGCGTCATCAGGACAGGAGAGAACACAAATGAGTTAACAAACAAATGCATTATACACACCCTGTACCTATAATGGGTACAGGGTGAATTAGACATCGGAAAAGTCCAGGGTCCTACATAAAGCGTCCTCACGAAACCCCAGGTGATGTTGACTACTGTCACATCTATATTGTAACTGTTACCTCTGTGATTCTTATAATTTCACTGGAACTATCAATCACAAATGGAACCGTGTCCAAGGGCACAATGAGAAAATGCAGTGTGAGGGCACATTGTTTTCACGAGTTTACGCTGGCTCTTTGGATCTTGTAGAACAAACTTTGTATTTATGAAGATATTTCTTCTTTTAGATACATTTACAACAGGTGAGCTTCCTCCTGGCGTATTGTCAGCACTTCTGATAGGGACTTGCAATCCCGAACGAAACATTGGAAGTTCCCACCTCCCCCACCAAATAAATAGCAATCACCTTCAGGAAACAGTTGTGAGAGACTAGTGCTTGGGTGGCAAGAATCACAAACATCTGTATCTTTGCATTTTTATAGAATTGGACCTCTATATCATTAGCTTTGTGCTCCAGTTTTGTACATATGTATTGCTTTAATATACTTTAACTATATCTGTTGATATGCTCCCCACATTTGTGAAGCACTTTTGACAGAGCTTACGGGCACAGTACAATTTTAAATCTGTTTCTATATTTATTATTATATTATTAACCTTTTAATTATTATTATTATTTATTTTATTATTGCATTTATGTTCTTGTAGTACTGCTGTGGTTAGACTCCAACTGCCTTTAGCTTTATATATATATTTATTATATTATTTTTTATTACTTTATTATACCATATTATATCTTTTTGATACCTAGTTAAGCTATATGCAAAGCTCGCTTGGTAGATTTCAGCATAAATACCTTTAAGCATACAGAAGACTGACAAAATCAGAGATACAAATACATTTTTTTAAATGCACTCTAGGTCATCTTGCATAATATAATACTTAACTATTATTGAGATCTAGGTTCAAATTCATATAACAAAAGAACGCATAGATTGTGAATTGCCAGCGGACAGCTTCAAAAGAGCTCAGCTCTACGCGTTTCACGCCTGAGGTTAACTTCTTACAAGTTAGGCTCAACTGTTCATTAGGAAGTGCCACCTCAGGTGTGAAATGTGTTGAGCTAAGCTCTTTTGATACTGCCTGCTGAAACCTCACAATCTATGTGAACTCCTCTGCTGTGAATTTTAACCTGGCTCGTAATATAAGTTAAGCATTATACTGAGAAGACCAACATCACTCATCTTCTGTACGTTTCGCTCAGCTGAAACAAAGGACAATGACAATTTATTCAATATGCAAATCTTTCCAATGTTTTAATTTTATTTCGGCCTTATTTAATAACCATATCTTACTCTGCAGTCCTGCACCAGTTGGAAAGCACAAAACAAAGTCAATGAAAAATCCATAAAGTGGTTATGGTGCTTGATGAAGTGTTTATATTAGTTGATAAACTGCTTTAACAAATTCTTTGATGTGCAGAGTGACCCATTACGTAACACTGCTTATTAAAAGGATATGTGAAATGTTGCTAGGACACGTCTTTTTATAAGCTTGGCTTTGCTTGAAGGCAGTATATTAAACTACTTTTACATTTTACATTATGGGACATACTCACTAAACAGTTGTTTGAATAGGACCCACTTGTAAAATGTAGGTTAAATTCTGCTTATTAGAACTAAAAATTTATTTTCCAGTGAGTTGGATGTTCTTTTCCAGTTCTGCTGTTTAAGGTACATTTATCAGGTCGTTCCAAATAGCTGTTTAGTGGATACATCCCTGAATGTCATTATGACAAGCTGTAAAGGGAATAAACTGCATTGAAGCAGAAATAATAAAATAATCATATATCAAGTTTCCTTTACGAGTTTCTTGTTCCTCTGGGTATGTAAATTCTATTTCCTACACAGTAAACGGAACAGTCACAGATAAAGTTACAATGTGTCCTCTCCACTACATCAGTGTTACTGGAGAAATACCACATTGCATCGAGTCCCCCTCAACTCTTGTAAACATCATACACCCCAAGTGTCCCTATTTTGAGGGACTGTCCCTATTTTAAGACCACATCCCTTTGTCCCTCTTTTTTCTCCTCATGTCCCACTTTTCTAGAAGTTCCATATTGTTGGTGTGCCTGAGCTCCACGCAATAATACTCACGGTAATGTGTCTTTCAATTACAAGAAATGTGTTTAGAATTCAGTCCGTGTAAATAAGATACAATGTTCTTGTTATAAAACCCATTTTTGTTGTATAAATTGGTATTAGTAAGTAATCTAAAATGTCTCACAGCAGCCCAGCCTCTGGCCACCCCACCTCCCTCACTCACACCCTAAATAAAAGTGTACCTCTTGGTCCATTAGAAATATTGAGAGGTATGAATCAGTTTCACAAAAAAACAAAGTACTGCACCCATAGAATTCTTCCACCATAGTCATTGTTCTAAGTTGTACATACTGTGATTGTTATAGAGCCTTAAAAATAGAAAGGACTATTCTACCTAAAAAGACAATCTGTTTATAATTGTTCTTGTTTTTTTGTGTTTTTTTTTTATTCTTTCAGGAGAGAAGTGTCGAAGTTTTATTACACTCACACCACCCGCTGATAGAGGTAAAAATCTATTTATCTTTATATTATTGAGTAATATAGTTAATGGAATGTATGTAACATATAATTAATTGTTATTATAGTCTGTGCTTTAGAGAAGTAATGCATAGTTAGGACTCTGATCTACCCCCTTCCCCTACAGCTTTATTTCACCAGTAAAGGCATAACTTTAAGATGCGGTCAAATTGATACTTGGTGATGTCCATCTTTAATCTGGGTATTTCTGACGACAGATATAGTAGTAGATGTTACATAGAAACAGCTGTTTAGGACATGTTGATAGTGATGGCCAACAGCTGGCAGCCCAACGCATTTTGTATATATCACGGACCTCCAGTATCTCCTGAAAACATGGAGTGGAGACATGTGGGCCAAAATGACAAGAAACCTCTGTCAGCTTAGCATTTTTTTAATCCACTGTTTTGCACAACATAGTCATCATAGAGGGTTGAGCTTTGAATGTCACAGAATCCTCAATTTTTGTTGAACCATTTTAAAACAGTCATACAGATGGAACGCGCACATACACTCCTAAAATCAATTGTTGTTTTTAAGGACGAAAGTACAGTCAGAAACACAAGGTTGTTTTGGCGGTTTGGAAATTCATTTGCTAACTTGTGCAGCTTGTTTGGCTCGTAGCTGGTAAGTTTGTTGCTGTGTGCAATAAACCGGAGTTCCAACTTGCTGCAAAGTCCCTGTTGGTCATTACCAAAGCCCAGAATAAAACAAACCATCTAGCCACTTGTGCTGACAATTAGGACGCTCTCCGAGAATATATTTTAATTTATTAGAGCAATAACCGGTTCCAACAGCGCCAGAGGTTAACTTACAAAGCTAACCATTTCCATCATCTTCTATGTTTAATTTCCAACGGAAGAATTTCGAGCACTTGAGGTTAATTTTTAACTGGAGAACAAAGAGATCTTGAGGTACAACAGGGGCCCTTGTTAATTCCCTTTAATTCGTATGACAGAGTTAATATTAAATTGTTTATATCATGTTGCAAAGTGTGAATATTCTTATCTGTTTTTTCCCAAACCTTACTTGTAGGACATTTTATTTGTAGATAGGACATCTGAAGCTTGTTCTCCTTAAATGATTAATTCTTTTATTATTGCACTTGGAGAAAGACAGTTTACGTTCTCCAAACCTCCAACTAAGATACCATGGAGGGATGAATCAATTTCATGAGAGATGTTTGTTTAATAAAGAGGATTATGGAAGCATAGTTTAGCTTCTTGGCATATCAGCTCAGTACCCTGGTACCGATTTACTCGTGACAACAGCCCTCGGCCTTCATCTTATCATTTTAAGAATAATTTCAGCAAAATTATCTTTTTTTTGTTTTTTTTGTTAAGAAACAGAACATTTACAGTAAAATTCTTAGAAAACTTTTATTTTGACAGTCTTTGAATAGATAACTGATGCACAGAAATCATTTGTCATCTAAATGCTCAGTAACATTTATTACTTATGAGCTTGCAATCAAGTATATTGAGAAAGTAACTCGCGTGCATTCAAACAGTCCATAGGAAAGCATTTCTCAATGCTTTCCTATGGACGTTCTGCATGTTGGATGAGAATTTCGCATCCAGCGTCACAGATGCGACTCTAGCGGCTGTCAGGAAGACAGCCACTAGAAGTTGGATTAACCCCAAATGTAAACATAGCAGTTTCTCTGAAACTGCTATGTTTACATGTGAAGGGTTAAAACCTGAGGGACCTGGCACCCAGACCACTTCATTGAGCTGAAGTGGTCTGGGTGACTATAGTGTCCCTTTAGATAGTATCAATGCATGTTTGTATTTGAGTCCGTATGAATGCACTTGTGCATGTCTGGATGACTACATGTGCTTTTTTGTATATAGGATCAGTGTGAATGCATGTGTGACAGGTGACAGAGTGTGTGAGGTAAAGGGTGATAGGTGGAAGAGTGAGGAAGGGAGGGGGTGAGTGGTGGCAGAGTGAGGGAGGGGGTGAGTGGTGGCAGTGAGGGAGGGGGTGACTATATCCTACCTGTCTCTCTGCTCCCTCTCGTCTCTCCCCGGCTGCCGCTCCTTCCCCTCTGATCGGGCTCTGTGTGAGAGGAGTAAACAGGAAGTGATATCACTTCCTGGCCCCCGCCTCTCCCATCACACAGAGCCGCGTGGGACAGGAAGTAGGAGACCTGGCAGAGAGGAGGAGAAACTGCCGGGTCTCATTCAGTGGGAGGGAGGAGGGTGCTATAATGCTGAGCGGTAGGTTGTGGGGCCATGCGCTCCATCAGGGTCCCCAGCAACCTATTAAGGGAAGAGATACGTTTTTTTAATATTGCCGTCCCGTATCCAAAACTAGTGAAAGAGATTATATATGTTAAAACTTAATATTTAATTGATTATTTAAAAAGTCCAATAGGTGCTTAAGCACCATATTATTCATAGATATAGAGGCTTGATACCTCTTATTCATTTTCTAAAGGCTAATTGTAGCCGTATATACAGTTGCAAGAAAAAGTATGTGAACCCTTTGGAATGATATGGATTTCTGCACAAATTGGTCATAAAATGTGATCTGATCATCATCTAAGTCACAACAATAGACAATCACAGTCTGCTTAAACTAATAACACACAAAGAATGAAATGTTGCCATGTTTTTATTGAACACACCATGTAAACATTCACAGTGCAGGTGGAAAAGTATGTGAACCCTTGGATTTAATAACTGGTTGAACCTCCTTTGGCAGCAATAACTTCAACCAAACATTTCCTGTAGTTGCAGATCAGACGTGCACAACGGTCAGGAGTAATTCTTGACCATTCCTCTTTACAGAACTGTTTCAGTTCAGCAATATTCTTGGGATGTCTGGTGTGAATCGCTTTCTTGAGGTCATGCCACAGCATCTCAATCGGGTTGAGGTCAGGACTCTGACTGGGCCACTTCAGAAGGCGTATTTTCTTCTGTTTAAGACATTCTGTTGTTGATTTACTTCTATGCTTTGGGTCATTGTCCTGTTGCAACACCCATCTTCTGTTGAGCTTCAGCTGGTAGACAGATGGCCTTAAGTTCTCCTTCAAAATGTCTTGATAAACTTGGGAATTCATTTATCCTTTGATGATAGCAATCCGTCCAGGCCCTGACGCAGCAAAGCAACCCCAAACCATGATGCCCCCACCACCATACTTCACAGTTGGGATGAGGTTTTGATGTTGGTGTGCTGTGCCTTTTTTCGCCACACATAGTGTTGTGTGTTTCTTCCAAACAACTCAACTTTGGTTTCATCTGTCCACAGAATATTTTGCAGTACTGCTGTGGAACATCCAGGTGCTCTTGTGCAAACTGTAAACGTGCAGCAATGTTTTGTTTGGACAGCAGTGGCTTCCTCTGTGGTATCCTCCCATGAAATCCATTCTTGTTTAGTGTTTTACGTATTGTAGATTCGCTAACAGGGATGTTAGCATTTGCTAGTGACTTTTGTAAGTCTTTAGCTGACACTCTAGGATTCTTCTTCACCTCATTGAGCAGTCTGCGCTGTGCTCTTGCAGTCATTTTTACAGGACGGCCACTCCTAGGGAGAGTAGCAGCAGTGCTGAACTTTCTCCATTTATAGACAATTTGTCTTACCGTGGACTGATGAACAGCAAGGCTTTTGGAGATACTTTTATAACCCATTCCAGCTTTATGCAAGTCAACAATTCTTAATCGTAGGTCTTCTGAGAGCTCTTTTGTGCGAGGCATCATTCACATCAGGCAATGCTTCTTGTGAAATGCAAACCCAGAACTGGTGGGTGTTTTTTTATAGGGCAGGGCAGCTGTAACCAACACCTCCAATCTCATCTCATTGATTGGACTCCAGTTGGCTGACATCTCACTCCAATTAGCTCTTGGAGATGTCATTAGTCTAGTGGTTCACATACTTTTCCCACCTGCACTGTGAATGTTTACATGGTGTGTTCAATAAAAACATGGCAACATTTCATTCTTTGTGTGTTATTAGTTTAAGCAGACTGTGATTGTCTATTGTTGTGACTTTGGTCATAAGACCAATTTGTGCAGAAATCCATATCATTCCAAAGGGTTCACATACTTTTTCTTGCAACTGTATATATCCTTTTATTTATTTGTGTGTGTGTTTTATTTATTATTTTCTATATATAGTACTATTTGAGTTTTTTGAGTGTGACGTAACTTGTTTCCTTTTATCCTATTGATCTTTTTAAATAATCAATTACATTTTAAGTTTTAACATATATAATCTCTTTCACTAGTTTTGGTTACCTCCTCCATTCCTCTTTGTTCTCCTGTTTATCCACACCGGGGTTATCCCCCGATAAGGAGGGGCTGCAACGCTCTGCCTCCACTCTTCTATCATTTCCTCTCTTTATCTTCCCAACACATAGTGAAACATATTTATTTACCAGAGCTCCGTTCTATCCCTCTGCATCTATGTATTAATACCTTAAACGGCATACACTTCTACCTCCTCACACACTCTCCAGCAACTTTTTTAGGTCAAACTTCGAGGCTGCTATCCAGCAGCCCTAGGAGTGATCTGAATACACGGATTACCCTATTTATTATTTTCAGTTTCTGTAACACCTGCTGTGTTTTGTGTTTGAGGTACAAAAAAATACCTAATCCCTTTTATTCCTTTAATATTTCTGTAAATAATCCAAGAATGAATAAAAAAGTAAAACGGTGTAAATTTGCATAATTGACTTTTCAGTATTCCTGAACGGCAATTTATATATGAAATTGCTCTTTTTAAAATTTGATTTATATGCTAGGTAGGCATCTTATCCTATATGGCTTCATCCTTTACATACTCCCTTCCTGCTTGCCTAGAGTTGGCAGGAAGGCGTAAAAATTAGATTGACTTTGCTTTAAAGATGAAAATTTATATATATTGTAAAATATTTATCTTCTAGATTTTTTTTTTTTAATCCAGGGAACTGTATTTATTGTATATAATAGTAAAGTCACATACTGACATTCTTTTTAACAATCCCCTTTTAGTTTTGGAATCTACATGTACATTACAAAGTGAGGATTCCTAAAGAAATATATATCATATTATTATTATCATATTTATATAGCGCTAACAAATTCCGTAGCACTGTACAATGGATGGACCAACAAACATGTATTTGTAACCAGACAAGTTTGACGCACAGAAACAGAGGGGTTGATGGACCTGCTCAATGAGCTTACATGCTAGAGGTAGTGGGGTAAAGTGACACAAAAGGTAAGGGAAGTATTAGGGAAGTAGATTGGTAGAATAGTATTCAATGAAGACTTAGTGCGGGTTTTTTTGGAGCCATTAACAGTTTAATTGATATGCATTTGTGAAAAAGTTAGTTTTTAATGTTTTTTTGAAGTGAGCATCTAACGGAGGAGGGAAGTGAGTTCTACAGGAACGGTGTAGCCCTAGAGAAATCTTGAAGGCGAGCATCAGAGGTGGGAGTACGAACAGTGGATAGACGTAGGTCTTCGGCAGAGCGTAGGGGACTAGATGGTACATATTTGTGTATTAAGGAGGATAGATAGGTGGGAGTAGCATTATGTAGAGATTTGAAAGCAAGAACCAGAATTTTATTTTGAGCCCTATATCTTACAGAAAGCGGATTGGAGTAGTCAAGGCGAGAGAGGACAGTGGCATGGACTAGAAACTTAGCTGCATGTGGCGTTAAGTAGGGTCGGATGCGCACAATGTTTTTGAGATGGAAGTGGCAGGATTTGGTGATCGACTGGACATGAGGGTTGAAGGAGAGGTCGAAGTCAAAGAGAACACCTAGGCAGCGAGCTTGCGTGGTGGAGCTGATGGTAGAACTATTAACGTGGAGGGAGACAGAGATGGGAGTAGCAACACTTGAGGGAGGAAAGACCAGAAGTTCAGTTTTGGACAAGTTGAGTTTAAGGAAGTGGGCAGCCATTCAGTTAGAAATAGCAGAGATGCAGTCAGAGACACTAGTCAAGAGAGGCAGGGAGAGATCAGGGGAGGTGATATTGGAAGCCAAAGGAGCTGATGAGTTTACCAAGGGAGGCAGTATAGATCGAGAACAGTAGGGGACCAAGGACTGAACCTTGGGGGACACCAACAGAGAGAGGTTGGGATGAAGAGGCAGAGCCAGAGAAAGAAACACTAAAAGAGTGCTGCGTGAGGTAGGAGCACCAGGAGAGAGCAGTATCTCGTAGACCGAGATTAGAGGATGAGAAGAAGCTGTTGATGATCAGTATCAAAAGCAGCGGAAAGGTAAATGAGCATTAGGATAGAGTAGTGACCATGAGATTTTGCAGCAAGTAGCTCATTTGATACTTTGGTCAGAGACTCTTCCACAGACTGAAGTGGAAACCAGACTGAAGTTAGTCGAGCAGAGAATTGGACTAGAGGAAGTCTGTCAATCTCACATACACAAGTCTTTCAAGGATTTTGGACTCAAAAGGTACTAGCGAGATAGGGCAGTAGTTGGACAGGGAGTTAGGGTCAAGGTTGGGTTTTTTTAGAATCGGGGTTACAATGCCATGTTTGAAGGGTAATGGGAATATGCCAAATGAGAGGGAGAGATTGAGAGTTTTAGTGAGCAGCAAAGTAAGAGACAGAGTATGGATGAGATATGTGGGAATAGGATCTAGGGAGCAGGTGGTGGGGTGGGTGCGAAAGCAAAATAGAACAGCAGAGGAGGTGAAGTTAGGGGAAGTATTGTAATGGGAAGGAGAGAGATGAGAGATCGCTTCCCTGATTGTAGAGATCTTATCAGTGAAGTGAGTTGCAAAGTTTGTGGTGGTTAAGTCGTTAGGAGGAGGAGCAACAAGGCGAAGAAGAGAGTTAAAAGTGTGAAATAGTCGTTTGGGTTCACGGGAGAGTGTGGTTCTGAGGGTATTTAAGTAATTTACTTTTGCAGAGGTAAGAGCCAAGCTGTATGAATGCAGCATAAATTTATAGTGGAGAAAGTCAGATGCGGAATAAGATGTTCTCCAGCAGCGTTCAACAGTTATGGAGCATTTTTGGAGGTATCGAGTCAGGGATGATATAGCAGGGTATTACAACAATAATATAACTTTTTGGCTCCCAAGTTATTTAAATGTCTGCGACACAAGATGCCATATAATCACTTTTCAATACCAGCCCCCAATTTTCCTACAACCAATGAATAAATGTTTTTTGTAGCAGACTTAAAATTTGGATTATTTTATTTTTTCAACTTTACACATTGTATTGTTTTGTCCTTATATTACGTAGGGTAATCAATGCTTCAGATAAATTGTACATCATATTTTCATTGATGTAACATTCACACCTTTGTGGAGGGGGCTTTAGGTGGGATGTCGTCAGTTGATGAGGACATTGTTATGTATTTTGTGAGGTCCACGGTGCTGTGAATGTTGTGATATCAATATAACTAAATATTTGTCTTGCTATGCCTTATAAGCCTGCCGTACCGAGCTCGCTTAGCCATTTTTCTTCATTATCAATACCGCTTTAGTGGCTTTCTGGCCTTGTCTGATGCCCTCCTAAATCTATCTTATTCCTGAAATAAATGAGGCAGCTCGCAAACCCCTCCCAGGCCAAAACCGAGAGGCTGCTATAATCACATGAATCCGCACAGCTCTCCCATGCCATGCAGAGAGTAATTAATTACTTTATTAAAAGGTTTCTGTCAGCAGAAGAGAATATAAACATTTCATTAGTCATTAAAACACAAAAACTTACATCTGATCTAAATATTTCCTACTGTCTTTCAGCACTTTGACATATATAACAACACATTCTCTGCCTCTCCTGCTAAAAATGTATTTTCCAAGCATGTATCTGGCTTTCCATGCCGATTGGCAGATTATTTTCTTTATCTAATTAGATTCTTGTAACTTTATATAAGCAGGGAAGGAGATACAATGTTGACTTTAGATCCCTGACCTCAATGACTGCCGCAGTAAGTAATTTCAAACCACATTGTAAACGACGCTCAGTCGGTTTAATAATGTTAGTACAATACGTAGACAGCATTATGCACCTATTGATTAATGCTGCGGGGGTTGGTAAGAGAATCTCAATCCATCTTTATTTCCAGCCAAACTCATTGATGATGTCATACTCTGCTTGAGGATAGTGGTTTTTTTGGTAATTAGTGAGAGCTCTTTAAACGGTTTGTAAGATCCATTGAATAACGGCGGGGACAGGGGGAGGGGAGACTTTATAAATAGCCCACAATTTACAAGATATGTGATGTAAAGTTAATTCATCTGATAAAACGGATTAGATAATATAATATATACAGATATTAGGATATCACCCCCCCACCCCAGCTACTACGCTGCCTCTATGCCAACCGCGGGAATATTGAATTAAAGGCTGGGTACCCCTTATTCTTAACCCTTTCTCTGTCAAGCAAACTGTGCTATTAACATAGCTATTCATGCCAAGCTTCAAATATGCTGACACACAAACATATGATAAAGCAGCGTTATATTTTTCATCCTTTATAGGAACATTTAGGGAATTCAAGATTTAAATAGTATACAGTGTCCCATAAATCGCTAAATTTTCAACAGTGTCTGAAATACTAGGTAAAAGCAAAAAATACTCTCTCACCGTAGGTATGAATAAAATTGACAAACATACCTTGCTTATAGGTATTTGTAAGGACAAGGCAGAACTGCCTACTACAATGGCAATAGAATGTAAAAACAATGTGTGCATCCAAGCAAAAAGCCAAAATACAGTAAATACAGTGAAATTATATTATATTATAAAAGGTATTTAAAGTTTTATAGTAATTTCTGAAATACTAAACGGCATAAGAGGCATATGAGAGAACTCATTCACTCCTCCTCTCTCCTTGACTGTTGGAATGCCTTGTGGACAACTAAATCCTGCAACTTCCCTTAGAAGTAGCAATTGCCTTTAACAATTATTTTGTCAGATGCTCCACCACTCTGATTGCCAAGCTAATAAATGACGCACATCCTGAAACTACAAATGTGGATCAGGCCCCACTAATTTTGCAAAGACCCAATAGAGACAAGTTCGATTTTAGACCTGTAGCTATTAGTGTCATTAAGAAACACCTTAATAATCTAAAAATGAAAAACCATCGATATATATAATGTATTAAAATGAGAGGTTAATTCAGCACAGAGTGTTCCGTTAACGATGACTTTGAAGGTACATACAGTGTATTATCACACCATTATTTACAGCTGATACTTGGAAACTCTAGGCCAGGCATAGGCAACCTTCTAGGCCAGGCATAGGCAACCTTCGGCACTCCAGATGTTTTGGACTACACCTCCCATGATGCTTTTGCATTATGGGGATGTAGTCCAGAACATCTGGAGTGCCGAAGGTTGCCTACCCCTGCTCTAGGCCAATCAGGTGAGACTGTTCGAATTTATTTGTTTGGTCACTTAATCCACCTTGTTTACAGATGGTCAAATTCTTAACATGTACATCTTAATGAAGTGGTTTTGGTGGATGTCCCCTGTCCTGCCAGTCTAGCAATGTATAACACTGCCATTTCATAAAAACAGAAATGTTTACATTTGGCCATAGACAGTCCACTAGTGACTGCCATATTTAAAGATATTTATTTATATATATATATACTTAAAGGACCACTATAGTGCCAGGAAAACATACTCGTTTTCCTGGCACTATAGTGTCCTGAGGGTGCCCCAACCCTCAGGGTCCCCCTCCCGCCCGGCTCTGGAAAGGGGAAAGGGGTAAAAACTTACCTTTTTCCAGCGCTGGGCGGAGAGCTCTCTGCCTCCTCTCCTCCTCCGATCTGCCCTGTTGGCTGAATGCGCACGCGCGGCAAGAGCTGCGCGCACATTCAGCCGGTCACATAGGAAAGCATTCTCAATGCTTTCCTATGGACGCTGGCGTGCTCTCACTGTGAAAATCACAGTGGGAAGCACGCAAGCGCCTCTAGTGGCTGTCAATGAGACAGCCACTAGAGGGAATGGGGGAAGGCTTAACCCATTGATAAACATAGCAGTTTCTCTGAAACTGCTATGTTTATGAAAAAATGGGTTAACCCTAGAAGGACCTGGCACCCAGACCACTTCATTAAGCTGAAGTGGTCTGGGTGCCTAGAGTGGTCCTTTAATGTATTTACTCAATTCTAATGCGCATCTCAATTTTTGAAACCCGGAAGTTGAAAAATGTTTTTGCTGGCGAATGTAATGCGCATTTATACAAGAAGATACTACCATACAACATTGTGCTACATTTAAAATGTTTATTGCCATATACCATAAGTAAATTGATGGTATTTCAATTTTACACCCTGTTCCAAATTATTATTGCAAATTCTATTTAAGTGTCACAAAGATTAAATATTTTGGTTTTCAGTTTAACTCAGGATGGCATTGTGTCTCAGGGCTGTTTTGATCACTGAAAACAATCTCGGTCACCTGTGATAATTAGATTGCCAGGTGAGCCCAATTTAAGGAAAAACTACTAAAGGAGGGTGTACTACATTATTAAGCAGAGCACCATTTTCATGCAATATGGGGAAGAAAAAGGATCTCTCTGCTGCCGAAAAGAGTGAAATAGTTCAATGCCTTGAAAGAGGTATGAAAACATTAGATATTTCACGAAAACGTAAGCGTGATCATCGCACTATTAAGCAATTTGTGGCTAATTCAGAGCACAGACGAGTTTGTGCAGATAAAGGTACATTGAGGAAGATTTCTGCCAGATCCATGCATCATATCAAGAGAGCAGCTGCTAAAATACCATTACATAGCAGCAAACAGATATTTGAAGCTGCTGGTGCCTCTGGAGTCCCACGGACATCAAGATGTAAAGTCCTCCAGAGTCTTGCAACTGTGCATAAACCTTCTATTCAGCCACCACTAACCAATGCTCACAAGCAGAAATGGCTGCATTGGGCAGAAAAATACATGAAGACTAATTTTCAAACAGTCCTTTTCACTGATAAGTGCCGTGCAACCCTGGATGGTCCAGATGGATGGAGTAGTGGATGGTTGGTGGACGGCCACGCTGTTCCAACAAGGCTGCGACGTCAGCAAGGCGATAGTGGAGTCATGTTTTGGGCCGGAATCATGGGAAGAGAGCTGGTCGGCCCCTTTAGGGTCCCCGAAGGTGTAAAGATGACCTCTGCAAAGTATGTGGAGTTTCTGACTGACCACTTTCTTCCCTGGTACAGAAGGAAGAACTATGCTTTTGTAATAAAATCATCTTCATGCATGACAATGCACCATCTCATGCTGCAAAGAATACCTCTGCATCAATGGCTGCTATGGGGATAAAAGGAGAGAAAGTCATGGTGTGGCCTCCATCCTCCCCTGACCTCAATCCTATTGAGAACCTTTGGAGCATCCTCAAGCAAAAGATCTATGAGGGTGGGAGGCAGTTTACATCCAAACAGCAGCTCTGGGAGGCTATTTTGACATCTTGCAAACACATTCAAGCAAAAACTGTCCAAAAACTCACAAGTTCAATGGATGCAGGACTTGTGAAGCTGCTATCAAATAAGGGGTCATATGTTAAAATGTAACGTGACCTGTTAAAATGTTTAAAAAGTTAAAATGTTGTTATAAGTTTGATTGAAATTGCTTTTGATTTCAGTAAATATGCTGCAAACACAACAAATTACAATTTTCAGTTCTTTACATAATTTGGAACAGTGCATTGTAAGTTTGTTATGTTTAAAACAAATACTGTTATCATTTGGAGGTTTATTCGAATACAATTTGAATTGTACTCTTAATAGTTGATAACATGAGAATTTTGCTGACTGTTATTTACATCAATTATTTAGGTACATGAGAAAAATATAATTTGCATAATAATTTGGAACAGGGTGTAGTGTTACATGATAACTCTATTCTTTCTTAAGCCCTCTTTCAGGTACGAAATTTCCCTGTATAAAGTCACCAGTTTGAATTAGTCTGTTTGAATTAGTCTGAAATTGTCTGTTTGAATTCATTTGTTTGAATTTGCCACTGTGAATTCCCTCAATAATGTTTCATTTTACCCCGAATGTAATGCTCAATCGAATTGAATCCACATTCAAATATTGGTAACTTTATTTTCCAAAAAAGGTGCTCATTAGATTTGAGTAAATACGGTATAAATAATCTTCACATTGTAAATGCCCCTAATAAAGAAGCATTAGGTTCAGTTCTTCTCTGTCAGAAGGTTTTGATTGGCTGAGTGTGGCCATTGCTCTATGAGAAGCCTCTGTTTTTATCGGGGAGACTCGCGTTTCTTTTTGATTTATGTCTCTTCTCTTTTTGTTTTCGCCTAACTTTTTTTTTTCTTCTACTGATTTCCATTTGTTAGTTATTTCATGTTTTTTATATTTGCTCCGCAGTTACTGGTAGCGACTTATATCCAAAACTGTAGGAGAGGGCGACCTGTGACAACACAGCTCTAAATCAGGATGACTTTATCGTTAACGTTCCATGTAGTGACTGTGTTATGTGTTTTATATTTACGCCTACTTTGAACTCGTACATATATTTGCTTTGTAGTTTACTGGCACTATTCGACTGTTTGTCTTCTACTTGCTTCATTGTACTCGCTTTATCTTTTAATAAAACCCCTTAGAAAAAGGTAAAAATAGAGAAGACCATGAATCTAAATAAAAACATAGGTGCAAAATAAATATATTTATTTTTATCCTTCAAGTGTTTCCAGCACGGCATACAATAATTCAGAGAGCCATTATGGTTTGAGGTTATGAGAGCATTTTCTTGACGCATATAAATTCTTGTGAAGTCTCCCAAGCTGTTATCCAGACTCTTAAAATTCGCTTTTATGATGAAAACTAAAAAACTGACACTCACATAAGTAAATTGGCACTTTTCCCCACTTCACTGAGAGATTTTCTCTACTTCACTGAGAGATTTTCATTTTCAGATGTAGTCAGTAGCAGAGAACTATGACCGTCCTCACTTTTGATTGTGTATAAACATAGAGGCTCTCAGTACAGTCAGAGGTTGAATCAGCTTGTGTGCTTCACGCTGAAGTATACAATTTCTGAGAAAATTATTAATAATTTATTAAAAAGCAAAAGCAAAAAAAAAAGGATCTCAGCACCTATACTATTATAACGATAGTGCATTTAGTGTGAAAATATATTTAAACATAAAGTGACATCCTTTGAAAGTATTCATCAGTGCATTTCACTAACTTCATGTTGGCAAAAGGAATTCTCAAACTGATAAATTATTATCTTTTTAATTGTTTTTTTTTTTTTACTAGATGTTCTTTAAACTCTCTTTTCAGCACTGAAATGGTTAACATCCGTTACACTCCCATTTATTTGCACTTCAATGGAGTCTCCCCTCTAAAAGGTTTGATCCACCTACTGTGATGTCATCATTACTGATTTCTTGAGTCCAATCAGATGCATCACAGAGAGAAGCATTGGCACACAGCAACAATGCATTCTATACAGTTCAAACCGAGTAAGACATGAAACCCTCCGACTGTCTACTTGACAGCCAGGAGGTGTTAGTAAGTGGATTTATTAAAGTGACATTTTCTCTTGAAAACCTGCATTTTATCAAAATAAGCCTGCAGGAACATGCAGTCTTTTAAAGCTGGACACCAAACTGCAGAGAAATGGAAATCGAATTTCAGAAGAACCAAGGTGGAATTATATATCCTGCATTTTGCAAATCTGTTTTCAATTTGCTACAATTCATTCTTTTGTGAATTAAAAAAAAAAAATACTAAATTTGATTCTAGATTAATTAAAAATCTTAAACAAAAGTGTTTATGAAATATTTCCAATATAAACGACGTGAATATTTTTTAGAGTCTAATTTGCGCTTTGACTTTTTTCTTTAATCCAATTTACAGGCCTTTCATTATTTTTATATAATCCTATTATAATGTTATAATGTATATTTAGAATGATGGGTTTATGAGCCTAGATAAGAAAGATAAGATAAGGCGCTATATCTTTCCACTGATTTTTCAATGAAAAAAATGTTTTTTTTTAATTTTTAATCAGTCTCTCAACCAAAGAAAAATACATTATAATGTTGCCACAAAGTCTTTTTTTTAATTTATTTAAAAAATAAACATTTATATTATATATTTTTGCTGTGCAAATGATAAAAAAAATAAGCTTGTGATTCCACAACAGCAGGTCCAGGCATAGGAATAACAGAGAGTGTGAAATATTAACATGGTATTCAGAGACACGGCACAATTTTTAGTATTAATAAAGTAGATGTTGTATGGAGCAGAGATGTGAAGGATCATAAGAAAAGACAGCCAAGGCATGTTGCTGCACACACAAACACATGAGACAAAATGCCACTGGGTTGTAGAATAAAAGATCAGTATCTTGGTGTCGCCGGGATGTTGAGTTGGCCAGGGGAAAAGATGGAATTAAAGTATATAAACCAAAGAAACGTAAATCATGCATGTGATCACTGGAAAGGTGAGTAGGTAAGCCACAGCTCAGGGACAAATTCATTTCTATTTTAAAAACTAATTTGAAAATATAACAAAAATAATAAATAAAAAAATAAAAATCAATAAAGTAAAAATAATTGTGTTTTAATTCAAAATACATGTTTTTTTTAACTATTCTAGAAGAAGCCAAAAGTGTATATGTGTCTATAAGAGCAAGCTACTGAGTTTCTCTAACGTTTTTTTTCGTTCCAATATTCTTTGTTTTTGTTGCAATGCATTAACTTGGCTCTCCCCAAGTTCAAAGAGTAATCCGGACGTAGACCCCGCGCTCTCTGTGTCTAGAGGGGTATCAGCTACACCTCACTGACGAGGCCCAAAGAAGACCAAAATGATCATCTGGGGCTGCTGTATCTCTCTTACAGAGAGAGCTTGCTGGCATTTCGCTTCTGGCCTGCCCGTACGGGTAGGATCAGTCTGATTAAAAAATAAAAAAAAATAGTGAGCAAAAACTATGTTTGAGACCTAAATGGGGATTTACTGAAGGGCAAGCTATTGATTTTCTAATATATTATATTATATAAAGATTACAGTTTATAAGGTAAGATATTTATAAGCTACAGCTAAACATGTTTTAGTGGCTAATTTTTAGCTTCAGTTACTGCTCTCAAAATAATTTTATTGATTTAATCTTTCAGATTATCCACAAATCATCCGCTCGCGTGACACTAATATGCCAATTATTTACACCACATTCTGTGCTCAGACCTTGAGCAGGAAAAAATAAACTCATTTCTCAATGTATTTCATTCCCAGAGCTGTCCTCAGATATTCAGTATCTCCTCAGTAAAGGAAAATAAAACCATTGAAAATTATAAATGAGCAGATCAACATCCTGGCATGCAGGATGACTGCAACTGATAAAAAGATACTCTGTTACTATTAATAAATGTGTCATTTTCTAGCCACAAAATGAATATATTGGCTCAGGTTAATATAAAAAAATGGTTATTAAGCTTGTGCGCCATCTATGGGCTGTATGATAAAATGCAGGCACAGATGTACTAAATGTGATTCTATTAATCATTTCTGGACAGAGACATGTTGGGAGATTAAACACTGAAGGGAAACATCTGATAGGGTAAAAAAGCAGCCTATATCTGTGCTGGTCTGCCAATCAGCTGCGTCTGCTCATTGAACATCGTAAGAGGTTACCAGGGATATTAATATAAATTATTTAACTTTTATTATTATTTTTTTAAACACATCCTGGGGTCTCAACGATTTATAATCACAGAAATTAATGCTGCTCGTTACATCCTGGGAGGGATGAAAGATGAGTTAATCCTATCAGGAACTGATTCTGGAGTTTAAGAAGAAATCGAAAAGCTGCAGCTGGAGCATTAACCACTGAACTATCTCACCTGGATAAGAAGAACACATCTGATCTAGCCTTACTGATTAAATCGATGTGCAGCTTCTCATTGATGTGCCATTGACGGCCACAAATATCTTCCAAAATGTAAATTAAAATGTAGCAAATTCAAATACCATTATCCAACAACAAAAATAAAATAGGCGCTCACTAAAAACTAATACAAAATAAGGTAGAGGTGGGCTGCAGCCACTAATACAAGGATTCCCAACCTTGTGAGTGGTAAAACAAATAAACAAAAAGAAAGAAACCGTGCCCAAAGAGTACGTATGAAATAATATACGTACACAAATACATATGGATGATATACACTTTGAACCTCAAGAGAAGCAGAGATAAAAATAATAGTGCAATACAATTTGTGCAAAATGACAAGTGGCGTGTGATCTGGGGTGATTGCACTCACATTTGTTTGAGCTATATCATAGCTCAGCTGTATCAGCGCCTGGACGGAACAATCCCCGTCTAAGGATATGGGTAGGTGCAGATATCCAAAAGGCTCAGATGGATAGCAATATGCAAGACAAAAAACGTGCTCCACTGGTGAAATAAATATGATTATGATTATTCTGAAGAAGCCTTTGAAGAGGCGAAACGCGTAAAGTGGACCCTTGAAGCTTATTTTTATTGTTCTTATTGTTTTATATGTTTGGTAAATAAATAGTGTATTTTATTCATATTTACACTTTTTTTAATTTACCCAAAACTTCATTTCCTGGTTCCAGCATATCCTTTGGTGGGGATTATACCACCAATGCCATATATACTAGAGCAAGTTCTGCTCTAGTAAATGTGAGCACAACATCCTTCTCTATTTTATTTATATTTAATCATATTCATTTCACCATTGGAGCACGTTTTTTGTCAGATATCCAAAAGGCTCAGATGTATATCTGCACCTACCTATATCCTTAGACGGGGATTGTTCCGTCTAGGCGCTGATGCAGCTGAGCTCTGATATAGCTCAAACAAATGTGAGTGCAATCACCACAGATCACACGCCACTTGTCATTTTGCACAAATTGTATTGCACTATTATTTTTATCTCTGCTTCTCTTGAGGTTCAAAGTGTATATCATCCATATATATTTGTGTACGTATATTATTTCATACATACTCTTTGGGCACGGTTTCTTTCTTTTTGTTTATTTGAAATGCCATTATCCAACTAATGGTGCATAGTGAGATTAGTTGTATGAGGAGAATTAACTCATCTAAAGTTGCACCAACACCTAAGAATAGTTAGCTCAACTGGGATATATAATGCTTAACCAAGGTGTTCGAGGGGGAGGAAGATAGTATACTTTAGTGTTCATATGCTCTGAAGACTAGTTTAAATGCCTTACATACTTATATCCATAGTCTAATAAGTGCTAAAGTATCATGTATAACATAATCATTAAGGAAAAATAATGTGCAATAAAGCAGACTTATAAAACAGACAGTGCTCAATTCACTGACTTTGATCCCTCTCTTCCTCTTGGGACAAGTGGGGTTACATTGCTGGGGCAGAAGATAACAAGGATTCCAAAAACCTGTGGAAGCCCACTGCCTTGAAGAAGGTTGTGGCCTCAGATGGAGAGGATAGCAAAATGGAGCCATCCTTGTCAACTGTCCAGGACCTTGGTGCAGACCATTGGTTTTCCACCTCTGCTTCTCGGAGCTAGAGAGTGCCTGAAAGATCGCCTTTACTGCAGTGTGGATCTGTGCAGGTCTCAGAAAAAGGTAAGATTAGAAGATTCCATGATCTAAAGTGTTTAACTAGACATGATTCGGCTTTCATTGGAGAGTGATTGACACAGAACAATTACATCGCAGGAAGCCTATGAGGGAACATTTGGAGATTTGTTGATGCGATAAAACCCATCAAACACTAATTTTTTGGTGTGCGATAGAAGATGCGTGGTGAAGTACCTTAGATAATGAAGTAATTCCTCAGATGAGATGAAGTCCGGTATGCCCTGTATTTTTATATTGGCCCGCTGGCTGCAATCATAAAAACAAATCCACCCGCCGGGCAAAGGCAGTCTGTGATACCTTGACCTGCTGTACAGATTCTCACATAGTGGAATTGGGCAGTGAAACTTCAGAGACATGATCTATACACCAAAACTGCTTTATTAATCTAACATTGTTTTGCTGTTGATAGTGTCCTTTTAAGATTTAAGGAGTGTCTGCTTCCAAGATGCCATGTACCATAGGTAGTTCTTTTCAGCCAGGTAAAAAACCTAATTGAGAATGGTAGGACTTACAATCAATATCTTCCTATTCCCAGATCACTACAGATTACTGCTCCCTGGATTTCAGTTAGAATAGTTACATATAGTTGGCATCATTGGTCGCCTAGTAACCCCTGCCTCATTGCCGGACCACCAAGGGCAGAGAGGTGCTGGGTATCCATAAAGGAATTGACTTGATTTTGTGTTTTAGTCAAGTTGATCTTTTCATGGTAGCAGTCAATCTGTCGGTGTGATTGGATTACAGAAGCCTCATGATAATGCAATTCAACAGTGCTGGTATGTCTCTGCTGGAGACAGTTTCTGCAAAGATCTCAGAATGTGGATAGACTTTGCCCTCTCATTTGGACTTCATATTGATCAACTATCATCTACACTGTTGTTTTAGTGTGGATTTCCACATTGGTCTGTCCAACATTGGGCTGCAATGAAAAACTAAGTGTTTATTTGCCCATTTAGCTTTAACTTATCTAAATTCAATCTAAATAATTTGCTGATATTTAATGATGAGTAGACCTTGTGCCATGAAGTACTTTTTGTTTAGTCACCACTGGGTTAAAGGATGTCTGTTGTACACTTTCGTACAACAGTCTGCACAATATATCTCTTACCAGCCTCAGAGCAGTTTATATTCATCTATGTGCGCAAATAAAGCATTTTCACTTCTGTCCAAGGGCAACGACAATCACTAAACATTAACAACCTTGTTTTGAGAATTTACATTGCGTAACAAATGTATTCTTCAATTGTAAAATTACTAAAAACCGGGGCTGATTATGAAACCTGTTCTTTTCATTCTACTAAATTAAATATATAAAAAAATCAAAATAGTACATTATGATGACTGTTTCCAGTAGTTTTCAGGCTATGATAAAACAATGTAGACTAGACCACCAATTTTTTTTTCCTTCTCAGAATTGGCTCTTTTACAGTTCTGGTGAAAAGGGACGTGACCTAGGATCAAAAAAACACTACATAAAGATGTAGTGGTTATGGTGTTTAGAGTGGACCTTTAAAGGGACACAACCCGCAGTACTGGTTATAATGCCAGGATTTCCCTTGCCTGATTTCCCATTAAGCATCTGTTTTCCCCCTTACATGGGTCCCGGCCAGGCTCAGATGATCACTGGTGGTCTGGTGAGGTTATCATTAATTGCCTGGAGTGTCAGCTAATTCTTTTCATCGAATGACTGCAAATCTGCGTTCAGTGCCTGGAAGCTATAGGGACAGTTTATCTGTATGACCTGTTAGCTGGGTTCATTTTTTTATAATTCGGGGAGGAGGTGAGTATATTATAATTCAGGCATATGTTCCAAATGCAATGAATGGAGTTAGATATCGGTCAACGAATGTTTAATGATTGAATGGATTTAATATGGACTATTTACACATTAATACTGTCTTTCTTCCATGATGAAAAATTCTAAGTGAACGTCACCCAAATGTGTTGTGCGAGTGGCTCTGTTCTTAGCGGATTTCATTGTTTACAGAATAAAACTCACATTTAAAAAAATTATATATTTATTTTATTTGTGCAGTAGATGACGTTCGTGCCTGTCATGCCACAATAGCGATGGCGAGCATTACCAATAACAAACAAATACATGGAACTCTTGCACATTTTTAAAACTATAATACACAAGTACTAAGCTTCATAGTTCGGTCTGGAGCTCTGGACTAAGCATGTTATAGTGTTCTAGCCCAACGTGTGTTAAGCAGGTCTATGTATGCACTGAGCAATAGGCTGCTAGAGGTATTGGAGGGTACAAGCTCTTGCTCTACCGCTTGATTGCGGAGCTGGAATTATTCGTTTCATAGAGAGTCATCCCACAGTGTGGGCGACACAGATTGGAGCCCTGCTTGTCGGGACTAGCATGGTGTTTTAATTTGGACTGTCACTATACATGGTATGCTGTTAGTGTGCTATTTGCTGCTAAATTCGATGGTTGGGTGCGTGTAAGCCTGTTGGACTATTTGAAAGGGTCCCCACTGAAAAACTCCCATTTTTACCCCAACCCTAGAAGCATACATTATTCCGATCCTGCCATTCTTAATGTTGATATCAATTACACGTGAAGCTGGTTCTAGACAGGATATTTCAATGGATATGATGTATTAAAATAAATAATAAATAACAATAATTTAAAAAGTGTGTGTGGGGCTGGTGAATTTAGTTTATTAAATCAATCCTTAATTTTTCTTTGTATTGCAACAGATCAGAATGTTTAATATATTTTCTCTCTTGCTGCAGGTGTCCTTTGGCTTTCCATTGTAGCTGAAGTGCTGTATATCACATTACTTTTAACCGGAGTGAGCCTTATGTCAGTTGAAGTATGTTACTACACCTCGGTCATTGATGGGTTAAAGCTCAACGCCTTTGCAGCAATTTTCACTGTGTTATCAGGTAAATATTCTTCGGTAGATATAGCTCTTTACTAGGCAGTTGGTTAGAATTAAAGGGAAACTCCAGTGCGAGGAAAACAATCAATTTTCCTGGCACTGCAGGTCCCCTCTCCCTCCCACCTCCCAATCCCCGGTTGCTGAAGGGGTAAACGCTCTAGCACAGGTTTCCTGTGCTATGATCCAGGAAGTGCCCTGTCTACTAGACAGCCACTAGAGGAGGAGTTAATCCTGCAAGGTAATTATTGCAGTTTATAAAAAACTGCAATAATTACACTTGCAGGGTTAAGGTTAGTGGGAGTTGGCACCCAGACCACTCCAATGGGCAGAAGTGGTCTGGGTGCCTGGAGTGTTCCTTTAACCATCCTTTCTCTGTCCTTGATAACATGCGTATAGTTTATTGTTTAAACACTCCTGAAGTTTAGAGAACATATTCCTAAGGACAGTGGTTATGGTTTTAGCTCATGAATATTTATTATTTAAATCTTGATTTTTATGTTAATCTGTGGAGCGCTCAGTCAGACTGCCTATGGCCTAGATATCCAGTTTAGGGTGTGGGGGTCCCTCCTCAAGACAGCAGGGAAAGCAAACGATCTCCCTGCTGTGTCCTGTGTTCCCTCACTTTGCTGAGGGAGCATTGTGGTATGTACCAATATCAAGTACAGACCACTTTAACTTCACCCTGGAAGGTACCTTTAAAAATAGGTGACACTTTTATTCTACATTGTCCTTTCAGCCAATGTCCCAAAAATTCAGTCAGAGTCCTATTTCTTTACACATTTTCAGCATTAAATTTCCCTAGCCATGGCAAACCTGCAGATTTTTACAGCTAGCCAATAGAACAATAGTCGGCTTCAACTCCAAGCAGAAAAAAACGGATTTAAAGGGACGCTCCAAATCCCTAACTTTCTGACTAGACGTTCTTCAGCGTTTAAACGTTCTATGAGGAAGATTTAGTTCCTCATAGAGATGCATTGATTCGATACATCTCTATGAGGGGATGCGGACTGGCGCGACGCAGCGTTTCACCGTGCACGCACAACAGCCTTCCAATTCTTTCCTGTAGGAAAGCATTGGATTAGCTGAGATTGATAACGTTGATGATCTCAGCCAAGGAGGCGGAGTGGGGCAGGGCCAGCCGCAAAGAGACTCGTGCTGCGCTGCGCTAGTGGAGTTCGGTGACTCAACATGTTTTAACACTATAGTGTCAGGAATACACGTTTGTATTTCTGACACTATAGTGTTCCTTTAAGCTGGTTACACCACCTGTGACTGTCAATCAAGCAACCAGTCCTGTTACTTCCTGGTTTGTTTAGCTCAGTGGAGCTAAACTCAAGAGGCAGCAATTGCCCAGAGCACCTGCCTTGCAAAGACTTCTCATTGAGCTGCATTGGGAAATCTGTGGACAGCCACAGAAAAGGCTTCAGATGAGAAATCTTTTAGATATACCCCCAATGATAAAATGATAGTTATATCTACTAAATAGGGATTATTATTTTTGTATTTGGGCAGTGGAGTGTCTCTTTAAGGCTTAGTAGTAGAAATGAGATGATTCATTATTACAACCTGTAACCTTAAAGCTCCCCATATTTGTTTATCTGATGATAGTTTTTTTTTAGCGTTAAATAAAAGTTATTTTTTTGTCTTATTTTAGTGGCTTTTATTAATTTGTAATATTTAATACACTGCTGTGTATTTGGTGGATATAGTGCCACCTAGTGGGAGCATTGCAGTATTTAATATCAACCTGCAGTGCTAACTGTTCGACTGTTCAATGCCATTTATAGACAAGGATTACTGAAATGTCATTCATCTTTGTAAATAGTAGAACCATAAAACACATCTTGAGCAGATGAACGTTCTGGTTGAGTACATCAATCTGCTTTAAATCACTGTTCATTTTCTACGTAGAATATTAACAAATGTGTCAAATATCAGTAAGTTATATTTGTCTTTGTTTAAATTTCCCTAAGTTAGTGTAAATGTCATATTTTTATTTATGTCTTTGGAACATTTGTTCAAGTGTGTTTAAGAGTCATATGAGCTCATCACATTGTTTTGGGATTTGTTATTGCACCTTTATTTGGGAATGAACCTAGAGTACCTTATAGAGCAACCATTGGCACCCCAAATGTTTTGGACTACATTTCCCATGATTCTTTGCCGGCATTATGGCGGTAAACGCATCATGGGAGCTGAAGTCCACACTATCTGGAGTGTCGAGGGTTGCCTGCCCCTGTTATAGAGCAATTAAGCACTTGATCACAATGTGTCTTTTTGGGGTAAACCAGGCTACTGTCACCTCAATAGGAGGTTTTTAATTTTTGTATTTTCTATTCATTTTCATAACGTCCGCATTTAAAGATTTGTCTACATGCTTTTTTCCCCCATATACCAAGAAAATATAAAACCATTACAACTGCTGTATTTTAATTCCCTGTCGGTCTTTCTGCAGGACTTCTTGGAATGGTAGCCCATATGATGTACACAACCGTATTTCAGATGACTGTCAACCTCGGGCCGGAAGATTGGAGACCCCAGAACTGGGATTACGGGTGGTCTTACTGGTAACAATCTTGGTCTATAAACCATTATTACAATGTTATTTACAGGGAAAGGTCTGTGTCAGTGAAAAAGCAATCTACATTGTATCTGTCTACTATAATTTGTATTTTGTATTGTGAAACATGTTCTCCACCAGATCTACATGCAGTCTATACATTGCGCTGGTGACACAATTGATGAACAGTACCTGGATTCTGTTACTACCTGTAGACATTAGTTTGATGTCATTTACTTGTGGTAGGTTAGTAGTTGGCTACCAAGTCCATGATATGGTTCAGTTTCAAGCAGATAACATTACCTTGTTTATTGGCTGTTCTGAAGCTCTCAGGTATAGGAGAACATTTTCTTAAAATTGTTGAAACTTGGGTCCAAAACCTGATTATTCACCAATCTGGTAGATGTTAAGTTCGGCAGAATCTTCCCTGGCCTGAGTCGTAAAGAAACCATTAAATTGTTCCTACTTTTTGTTAACCCCCTTTTAGAACGTTCCTGTTAACCACCTCTAATTTTCCGCAGTATTGCATGTAACTATTTCAGCAGCAGCGGTGATTGTACACACTGCAATTTTTTGGCTAGGCCCCATGATAGAACCTTTTATTAAAGCGCATTGACAAAATAAAGTGTATCAAAAGTTAGATAATGTGTAGTAAGAGAATATTCCATAACATTATCTGTAAGGAATGGTACGCTACAAACTGTCTGTAGCAGAGGGTGACACATTGGGAAGAGTTAGCGCAGTGATGGCTCCTCTTCCACCTAGACGTCTGTGAGCTACTCTCGTCATGATGTTCATCAAATTATTGTGGCCAGCTTAAAGGTAAATTTATTTTTGTCAAAGTTAACCATCAGTGATCTAGCTGGAGTGTTAGTGGATGATTTGATAGCTTTTCACTTACGTAAAATGCCTAGAATATTCCATTAGTCAGCGCTCTGAGCCCGTGATAAATGTGTGTGAAGTTGGAGATCTCATTATACATTTTATCAATACGTTTTTGAAGTGACTTGGCTATTAGAATTACATCTGCCAAGTGGGGAGGGGAGAAGAGATTTGATCAGCAATGTGCTCTAGCGTGAAAATAACCGCGGTAAGAACCTCATTTCTCCATAGAGAACTGGACTACAAAGCACAGCACTATTTGAAAAAGCCATTAAACTCCTTCCCCAACTTTCAGTCTTTTTTTTTTTTTTTTTTATAGAGAAATGAAGCATAAAATGATTTATATAATGGTTTAAAAAAATGAATCTGTGTCTATTAAGGATTACATGATAAATCCGCCTTCTTTTCCAGTAATTCCACATATTACTATGAATAATAAGAACATTAAACCTAAAATACATTCAGACACCCGCAGCCATAAAAGACAGATTTCAAGGGGAACGGTCACTTCACAGAATTTCTCATATTATGTTTACTATTATTTGGGGGTATCTATTTCGGGTCTACATTCGGTAGCTCTCGGTTCCAACCCCCTTTTCATTACCAGGCCCAGTAATTCCAGAGAGAAAACCGAGCTCTGAAGGGCCCTGTTTTATGGTCGCCATTCGGATACTTGCACGCCACGTGTTAGAGAAAACGGTGGCCATCTTGTCCCCAGAACTTAGACACCGGGACTTGGTCGTCGAGTGTCTGGTTCCCTAGACTGGACATTCGACTGTGCGATTCTCCGGGGCCCCATCCGCGGACGTCTATTTTGTTTTCCCCATTCGCCAGGAGAACGCTATTTGGCATGGCTACTTCTGTTACACCACTAAACCAATGCTACTGCTGAGACCCAAAGACAGTTCACTGTTGTGGGAATATTGGGAGACTTTCGAACTGACTGACCGCAACCACTGAACTTGTGAAACTATTGTGGGCCTCTGCCTTGTGTCCGGTCGGTCGAATCTTTACCTCGGTGGCGTTTCCGCTGGGAACGTGGAATTAGAGGGCTATTTTGCCAGATTGGGTGCTCTGGAGCCAGCTATCTCGACATATATGTGTGGGGGTTCGGACGTGGTTACAATGTATTATTGCATATTTACGTATTTCTGAATTTTCTGCTGAGTCACGATGACGCAGGTTTTCATGTGGGCGTGTTGTGGGAGTTCCCATGGGTGTGTGTAATGTACCTTGACTTGCATAAAAGCAGGCTATCTGGCCAGAATAAAACATTCCTGTTGTACCCTTTATCTAGTCTCGACTGATGCTTGGCTATGCGATTGCTGTGTTGTGGTGTTTCTCCTCTCTGCTCGCTAGGATTTCTGTAACCATCGGCTCATCGCTGCCAGATATCAGGGCTATAATCACAAAGTCCCAAGACGGTTCGGTAGTGTCTGAAAGAATGGGTATTCGGGATACCAGCGTTCTTTTCCGCCTCCATCTTGACTCCCTGTCAAGTTTTCACAAAATTTCCTTGTCAGAGAACGCATATTGAGAGAGTAAAAAAAAAGAGAAGGCAGACAAGTGGTGTAAAGATGGATAAATCCATTGTATTTCTGAAAAATAATGGCATTTATTCAAAGTTGACTGCTAAATTAACCGATTTTATAAATTGCCCTGAAAGTTAGATGTAACCGCGTCAGCGACACTTTGATAAATCTATTCTATTTGTCTTCTTTACTTACAATATTTGCCATGTCTAAACAGAGGATGTTGTCATTTGCAATATATATATTTTTTTTATTTAAAAGCATGTCAGATCTCATGAAAAAAAAAAAATTGATACCATTAAAAACCATCTGTAACTCATGTTAAGTCCGGAGAAGCAGCAGTTTCCCCCTTAATATGGTGATCACTAGTCTTGGAAAAGCAGATGTTTTGGAATTCCGTTTAACCTGAGCATCGTGAGAAATGTATTTGGAAAATATCTGGAGCATTGACATTAGCTGTCACTGTAAAAGAGCTTGCAGTCTAGGCCACCTTTGGCACTTCAGATGTTGTGAACGACATCTCCCCTGGTGCTTTGGCAGGATTATGGCTGCAAAAAGCATTAATGGGAAATATAGTCCACGACATCTGTAGTGCCGAAGGTGGACTCCCCTGGCTTGGCAAACTAATGGTAAGAGTCTAGATGCATAGCTGTAGCCTCGTCTATGTTGTAATATTGAGGTAGGTGAAATGGGTGGCGTGACCCTGACACTGACATCCATGCTATGAAGTTGAAGGTATAAGAGTGCTGAGTATCGGTCTCATTTTAAAGCATTGAGAAGAGAAGCAGGGGCGTACCTAGAGCATTTGGCACCCGGGGCGGATCCTCCTTATGGCACGCCCCCACCACCACCTTAAAATGTAACAAAACACCCAATTTTTTTTTAAATGAATGTAGCACTGAGCAGTGTTTGTGCATCTAAATGTAAGCATGTGTTTTTGTATGGAAAATGTGTGAGTGAATGTAGGGGTGTGTAGTGTTGGCGTTTGAATGCAGGCATGCATTTGTGTGTAGTGTTGGCGAGATGCAGTTGTGTGGTTATATCTAATGGTGATGTTTTAATACAAAGGTGTGTTTGTTTGTAGTGTTGTTTGAATGCAGTGGTGTGCTTGTGTGTAGTGTTGGCAAAATGCTAAGATGTATGCAGATATACACATACACAAATATATACACACAATCAGACAACACATTTGCATAGAATTCATACTAGCCACCCAGATTTCCTTTTCTGTGCTGGCTGACACCTCAAAACTTCGATCTTTGTTTAGCAGATAACCCTATTTGATATCCCTATGTGAGATTGCCATATTTAGATCTAAAGAGCACCCTAATTTGGCATATTGAAATATGGAAATCTCACATAAGAGCATTAATTCAGGGAATTATCTACTAAACTGCTAAAAGATCAAAATTTAAAAGCCTTTTACTTAATTTTAATCTTTCAGTTGTTTAGTAGATAACTCCCTTATTTGTTATCCTTATGTGGATTGACATATTTAAGGACACCAAATAAGGGAGCTATCTACTAAACACATACACATTTATATACACACACAACCACAGATATATACACACAGACTTGTACATCTGTGGTTGTTTGTGTATATAAATACACACACAATCACAGACATTACACTTAATCACAGACACACAATCACAATAAACACACACTTAACGACAGAGATACACACAATTACAGACACACACAAAAATCACATTCTTACACACATTTAGTGTCACGGCTGCTAGTGTGGTCCAACATGCAGAAACTATGTAAATATATACATAAAAAAGGAAAGGAAATAAAAGGACAGAGCGTAAACCGAACCTTAGAATGGCCGGACTAATACGCTAGAGATAGAGAATGGTGAAAGGGAAAGCCGAGGTCAAGGAAGCCAGAAATACTCAGATACCATTGAAACAAGCCAAGTCAGGGGAACCAGAATTCGGAATAACCAGGGGAAAGCCAAGATCAGGATACCAGGAAGTAATATTCACAAAGATAAACGAACTCTCGAGAACCAGGAACAGGAAACCACGACAGGGCAAGGAACTGGAGTGAATTAGGGATTTAAATATCCCTCTCTGGGCTCTGATTGGTCACCCCAGAACGTGCATGTGCGTTGACGTCGTGAGGTCACGCGCAAGTCCGTATAAATTTGAGGGGTGGAGTTGTGGTGTGCGCGACCACGTGGTCAGCGCCATCTTTGATTTGGGCCCAGAAGACGCGGAGGAGCGTTTCTTGGTTTGCAGGTAAGCTCACAATATCGGCGAGGTCGTGCCGGTCGGGCACGGCTGCGCCATGCGGCGGGCCGGGAGCCGCAACATTTAGTAATTAAGAGGTCCACCCAGCTTCCCTACCTTGCTCTTGGATCTTTCTCATGGTGATTAGCGGTTGCTGCCGGGGTGGGTGCTCTCAGTAGTGATGCCGATGTCAGGATGACATCTTATCCCAGCTGCCGGTTTACTGCAGGGCGCGCACTAACCTCACTGCCTCCCAGAATATAGCTGTCCTTGTCCCTTGTGTAAAAAAAATGTGTTTGTGACAGCGTATCTATGTTCATTGTGTGTGACTGCATATGTAATTTGTGAATGTGAGCCTGTGTGTAATGTGTCTATGTGACAGTAGGGGAACAGTTGTATGTGCCTGGGTGGGTCGGAGTAGATTGGGGTCTGGGACTTAGTGTGTGATATTGCATGGGGGAATATAGGGGGGGTGTTGGTATAATGGCAGGGGGGTATAATAGTTACTTACCATTTAGGAGGGTGCAGGGGCAGCAGCTCCTTCCCAGGCAGGCAGCAGGTGCAGGGGATCTAGAGAGCTGATCCCCTGCATGTACAGAGTGACCGCGGAGGAGCAACCTGGCTCTGCGCCCCATGCTGGTACACTCCGAAATAGCCTCCCTGCAGCTCAGGGTGTGAGTCAGAACACAGGCTGGGAATCCCCTCCTTGTGCTCTGACTCATAAACTGAGCGCCGGTCTGCCAGAGCTGCGGGAGAGCAGGAGGTACAGAGCCTGGCACCCCCCTACTGAGTGGCACCTGAGTGTGGATCAAGATACACTCGGTTACTCACAAATGTGGAACTTGTCCTTAATGGGACACCGTAGGCACCCAGACCACTTTATCTCATTGAGGTGGTCTGGGTGCAGGGTCCCTGTCCTCTTAGCTCTGCTATGTAAAACTTTGCAGTTTTGGAGAAACTGAAAATTGCATGTTTAAAATTGCCTCTAGTGACCTTCTATCCTGGAATTTCATAGAGTTTAACTAACTTGAAGAAATGCTGGACGTCCTCACGCTTGTCATGAGGACATCCAGTGTCTTCAAACACCCATAGGAAAGCATTGATTCAATGCTTCCCTATGGGTAAAGCCCACTGTACATTAGGTTCCGCCCAATAAACTTGCTGTGGGGCACAAAGGAACACTTTAGTGTATGGAATACAGGTCTGTATTCTTAACACTAGTGTATTCTAATGATGCTTTGCCAGAATTATGGCTGTAAGAATTATGGGAGATGTAGTCCACAGCATCTGGAGTTCCAAAGTTGCCTACCTCTGACCAAGAGGCACAATATCGCCCTTGTTTGAATGGGCAGATTCTAATCGTAGTATTTCCCCCCCTGCCCTCCCCATTTGTTCTAACACATAATGCTTTATTTCATTCTGCAGCCTGGCGTGGGGCTCATTTACCTGCTGCATGGCGGCATCCGTTACCACCATCAACAGATACACGAAGACCATACTGGAGTTCAAGCAAAGGCGGAGGAACCTGGAACGCAGCTTACAAGGCAAGCAGAAGACGTTGGACCAGGACGTGACAGAGCCCGTCTGGGATGTTTACATTAACGCCCTTCAGGGTAACAGAGAAGGTTTCATGGATTTATCTGTGAGCGGGCAAACAGCCTCCCCATACGAAAATGCAAACACAGCCCCATTCACACACTGCGATGAATACTGCTAGAGTTTTTCATAGATTTGATTATTCTGGTGATTGTATACATTTTTTCTAATAAACATAAACAAAAGGCATCATGTAACTGCCTTGGGCATTATTACTTAACATAATTGTGTTACAGGGGCTGCACTGGGAATAAGCGAAATGGTATCAAAATAAATAGACAAACCGGAAGGTGTACTCAACAGACAATAGCCAAACACCCTACAGCAAAGCTGATAGAACCAAGCTCACACTGTTCAATCAGCATTAAAATAAAGACCAGCTTGTGACTGTGTTTATACACAGCGCTGTACATATTGTATTTGAGCCTGTGTAGTGCCAACCTGCCAATTCTCTTAGTTAAATTCTTTTTTTTTCTTGTAAATTTCTTTTTATTGAAAATAGTTTTTGATTATTTATTTTTCTTATACAAGAATGGACGCGCAGGTCCCACTGTATGCATAAGTTACTAGGAGAACAATATCTCTTTATATCTCACTTATATCTTATTTATATTCTATTCTCACTTTACAGAAGTATATTATAACACCTTAATCATATACCTGCAATACGTCTGTTTCATTAAAGGACCACTATAGTGCCAGGAAAACATACCCTCAGGGACCCCCTCCCGCCCGGCTCTGGAAAGGGGAGAGGGGTTGAAACTTACCTTTTTCCAGCGCTGGGCAGGGAGCTCTCCTCCTCCGATCCTCCTTCTCTCCTCCCCGTCGGCTGAATGCGCACGCACGGCAAGAGCTGCGCGGGCATTCAGCCGGACGCATAGGAAAGCATTTACAATGCTTTCCTATGGACGCTGGCGTGCTCTCACTGTGAAAATCACAGTGAGAGCACGCCTCTGGCGGCTGTCAATGAGACAGCCGCTAGAGGGAATGGGGGAAGGCTTAACCCATTCATAAACATAGCAGTTTCTCTGAAACTGCTATGTTTATTAAAAAATGGGTTAACCCTAGCTGGACCAGGCACCCAGACCACTTCATTAAGCTGAAGTGGTCTGGGTGCATAGAGTGGTCCTTTAAGGGTCAGTCTACGCGTTACCATATATTGTGCTGTAGTAGTTATGGTACCAGGAGTCCCTTGGTGCCCTCCCCTCCCTCTTTTCAAGATCTCTTTTCAGTTTTTCAGCTAATGAATATCGCAAAAATAGATGTCATTAATACAGAAGGGAAACGTCTGCTATAGATGTAGAGAAGGCACCCAAGGGTCAGATGACCATTGTAAATATCACCCTTTGGTTGGATTTAAAAAAAAAATGAAAATAAAAACAACAACATACACTAATTAGACTGATTGATACAATATTCTTAATTTCAAGAACTTCTTGGGAACCTTAAAACATTCATGAAAACCAGTACATTTTACATTTTTTAACATCATTGAAACATGGAAAATTAAACAATTTGAAGGCGTTGAAAGTTTTATAATTTGGGAAAGAAAACATTAATATATGCAGTTTTTTTTAGCCAGGAAAGAGACTTTTAGAACAGTTGGGTAAGTGTTACACAGTATGTGAAAGATGATTTAAACAGACCCAATAAAGCTGTATTCTCTGCAGAATGCCAAGTACTTTTGGTTTTTGTATTAAATACCATGATATGAAATATTGGCTGTTGGCCAAACATATATCCAAAGTTCTAAACAACAGATGTGCAAGGCAATGACTTATCTTCTGACACAGGACTTATACACATGGTTAATAGACTGGAGTTGACTTTAGGAATAATTGAAGCTTACTTGGAAATCCTTTAAGAGTTTACCAAAACTTCTAATAATTTTTCTACACTTAGAAAAGTCTACCTTTGTCATCTGTTAAAGGCAAAGAAGCAGTAAACCAGATTTTCGATAGCCAACAACCATGCCAAGGTTTAGGACATACACCGACATCTCTCAAGGTAAGTTAAGATTCTGTTTTCTGGGGAACCTTTAGAGGATAAATCAATGTGTCCAAGAGAAACTCACTACAACACTCACTCCACTATCACAGAATAAATCTAAGTCAGGGGAACCCGGTAAATGGCCATGTACCTACTACCAACGTATTGCTAAGGGTAGCTGGGTAAAGCATTGACCCCTTGTAATAACCATCACTGCGTTGGCATTGAATCCTGACAAACTGGCTTCAAAACTAAAAGCGTCCCAAAAAGTATAAGATTATTTCGGAAACTCAATATTCTAAAATGGACATGACTCAACATGAGATTGGGTTTTATTTTTTTCATTTCATAGAATTCCATTGATTGGTCAGGTAAAGATAAGATTTTGTTTGTATCACAGGGTGAAATATCTCGTACTAGTCTTGTTAAGATTCTGATGAGTCTATGGCTCCTGGTAACTAAAATAATACATGTCTTATTGTAAGGGTTTTTTTCACTAAATTGACAACACACTCAGTGTGTATAAATCACTAGGTATCCACTTATGTTGATATAAAAGAAAAGGTGTGGATGAACGCTTTATTCATCAGGGCCCCCATAGTAACCTCCAGGCTAATAAATAACTGATCAATATCTTATAAAGACTTCTTCCCATGTTAGGACACAAGGAAACATGGGGGATCCAGCTTTATGGAGTTTTCTGTTAATGTCAAACTTCTAACTGCAAGAGATGGCAAAGACAATATCTCAGGGGTAATCCAGCATTATGTCCTTTTCTTCCCCCCACACACAAAGAAACAAAATGTTTAAATAACACTGAGAATCCAAAATCCTCTTTCACCAATATAAGCATTTATGCACCCGCAAAAACCACAGAACTCTTCATCATTTAACATCTGTTATCAATCAAACTAATCGTTACTCAGAACTCCCAGGAACACCTACTGCGTCGTAATGTTAACCTTTAAACACCTGGAACGTCTAGACAGACAACCAGACTATGAAAACCTTTAATACAGGTAAAAACATTTTCTACAACTCATTTAAAGGATGCTGTGTTAGCACATCTTTTTAAAGGTAGAGCCTGTACTTGACCCCTTAAGGACCCATGACGGAAATATGTAGTCATGATTCTCTTTTATTCCAGAAGTTGTGTCCTTAGGGGGTTAACAAGAATCATTAATCTGCTTGTCAGAAAACTCCCATCATCCTCATCTTCACCTAACATAACTTTACCATGCCCTGCCAAATACACCAACATGTTTTAGCCAACGCTGTGCAAATCAATATCATTTATCACTTTGTTTAGTAAAATGCTCAGGATATCAGAAAAGTAAAGAGATCCAGATTTAAAAAAAAAATCGAATTGAACGAATTGAGATAATTACGACAAATTTAGCATTAAGCCACGCTCACCTCAGAATTTCTACAAATGTAGTCATACATTTATTCTGCGTTTTAACAGAGCACTGACTGTGTTCACTGGATTAAAACATATATATAAAAACAGATTAAATTTGATATATTAAATTGTACTATATTAAAACGTTTGCCTTGTGATAACTAAAACATACATTTGGGGTGCGGGGGTGACTGTAATGTCGTCTCTTCAAAAAAACGAAAATTCCTCAGAGCGTATCCTGCAGGGTAACTGAATAAGATACTAGTACTGGCACTAATTTATTAAAAATATAAAATGTATATATTATCTCTCTTATGTGTGGGAATGACAGATCTGCACATTATTAATAGCTTTTATTTTGTGAGATGTGGCATATTTATTATGTATGGGGTATTATATAAACCGGAGGAGTGTATAATTCAGCCCGTCACAATTTTAATGGGTGTTGAGTACAGTCCGCAGAGCCTAGTAATTTATAGCTAAATACATTTAGTTGCTGACAGCAAGTTGTATTTTTTTATTATTCATTTTTCTTCTTCTGCAAAATGTTTTTCCTTCACCCCAGTAGCCACCACAGCAAAAAACAGTTCAGGCAGAAAGGTTCGGACGTAGAGAGCAGCCTTCGGGACTGGATTTGCCATAAACACCTCCTGCTTTCTTCTGCTCACTGTGCGTAGAACCTCCTCTGCGACTTCCACAGGGTGAACTCCGTAAGATAGCTTTCTGAAAAAGACTTTTACAAGGAAGGGGAAAAGTTAAATTAAGTGCATGCAGTTCATCTTGGGATTATAAACTGAGTGCATATATCCTTAACCGGATCTTCAGTGTTTAGCTCAGAACACCCTTCTATCTATACATTTGCTACATAATTGGCTACAAGGTGTAAAAGTTAAATAGTGGGCTTTATGTAGAACATAAGATCTGTGGTTTTGAAGGAGGGGGAAGAATTGAACTTTTAAAGTTTACAAAAACCCCTATTACATCTCAGGATAAAATAGTAAAGGGTTACTCAAAGCACCATGAGCACTTTGGTGACTTGAAGTGGTCATGTGGCATGGAGTCTGTATGTGCAGCCTTTCGGTCTGCAACACTGTGATGCCACCTCCGTCAGTGTCATTAGCCGAGCCCAGATCACAAGTTCTGGGTTTTCCAATGTCCGTTCTGTTGGTAGCAAGCATGGCATGCTGCTGAAAGACTACCAGCGTGTATTGGTACTCCGTGTCATTTTAACCTTTAAACACAGATTCAAAGGCTTAATTAATTGATGCGTTAATAGGTACAAAAAAAGGACTACACTATAAACAGACTTATTATCACCACAGAAATTACTTATCTTTTCCAATGGTGGTGTTCCTTTAAACAAGGCAGAATTTTCTGTCTACTGTACAGCTTGCATTCCATAAAGACGTTTGCTGTCTAGTTAATCCCTTTCATTATTAAGCAGGGCATAAACTGTACGCCAGACCGCGCTCTTTCTAAAGTACAAATGTATTAATAACAGCCTTGGACTGCTTTACATTAAAGCGGTTATTCATTAGCAGAACACGCTGTACAGTATTTGCTACACTACCCAAAAAGACAGCCATTGCTTGCGTAACAGTTTGTTTTTTGGAGTAAGAGAACGTCTCGTCCAAAACAAGGTTTACATTTACGCATTCCTTTTAGATCTCGCCCTCCTAGCCATTCCTACAGGATTACTCAGTACTGAAAACGCGATCCGCTTGTGTATAAACTGCGTGTTTCACTGAGATTTACTGTCTCTGCTTTTCCAAATTCGCTTCCAGTTTAGTGAAATGTTAATTTGTCGAAAGCAAGCTTATTAATAGGGTTTGCGCAGAGGTTGAATGATCTAAGTGCCCGATTCCTGGAATGAAAACTAGCCAATGATTAACAGCAATGAAAAATGAGGATTTAAAAGACATTACTATTTAAAGAAAGGTTTCCTCTTTCATCTACTGTTTTATTTGTGTAACAAATATATAATTCTTTATATCCGAGGCATCTGTATAGAAATAAACAGTTCTTTAGCTAGACTGCAAAATAAAATGCTGCATTTAAGGAGTAATTATGGCTAATTAAACATTTTAGCAAGGTAGTAAATCTTTTTTTATTGGCAAAATGGAATCATCTTAAAAGCGTCAACGACCATAAATATTTTCATATTTAGCATTAGAGTATTTATTTTCTTTATGAAGATTAAAAATCCATGAAACGTAACATATAATCCCACACCAAGCCAGTCTCTGTTCTGTACTTCAACCAGATGCGCTCAAAATGTGATTATCATCAATCACAATAATCTTTGCTCCAATTCAATATTTCTCATAGAGAACGTTGCAGACCTACAGCATATGCAAGGCAATCACTGTGCGCTGCCAAACCAGTGCTTCTCCTAAAGAAGCACTGGATCAAATCCCTCACTATGAGAAGCACTAGCCAAATTCAGCATTATTATGTTGTGGGTGATGATGTCAAATTTTTGGAAAATCTAAGGTCTTAAAGAGAAAGCGCCTGTAGTGCCT